GAGAGAGAGAGAGAGAGAGAGAGAGAGAGAGAGAGAGAGAGAGAGAGAGTGAATGAGCGAGAATCAGAGGACGAATGAAGCAAGAGAGAAGTGAGGAGAAAAAGAAAAAAAGATAATTATACCCCATTTCTCACGGTATTTTAAATGTTCTATGATATCATTAATGTCATTCGATCCACAACACGATATAAAACGATTGTGACGCGATAATTACGATGCTACGTATCTAAATTCGAATGACGTGTGATGCACTATTGAAGATTCATCGTATTTAATATTGCGATCCTTCGTTTTTACCTCTTTTTTTCTTTTTCTTTGTTTCATAAGACGGATTCGTAAACTGACTGATTACTAAATTAACGCACTAATTAAGAACGCAACGATAACGTTAAGTATTATCGAGCTAAATTTTTAATCTCAATTTCTAGTCGTGTAAGGGAAATAACGATAAAAGGTATTAACCATGCCGATATACTATCGATGTTCCGTGATATAAGCTTGTTTCTCAATATGATACGTATCTTTCGGAAATGTAAATGATTGCGCATCGTTTCTCACGTTCTCGCACAAATATTTTCTGTGAACGTGGTTCATGTCCGATTTTGTCAGACCATATTTTTCCCCCTCCTTTAGATTACGTACATTTTCAAAAGCTGTAACAAACGATTAACTCCAGGCTGGCTCCTCCGATCTCGAGACATTATTGTTCCACTTGCATTTATCGTGAAACGTTCTACAAGGTGTTTAACGTTCCATAAATTTCGAGAAAACGATCAATCTTGTAATAATACTAATACGGCGCTAAGCGACAGCCGACTGAACTGAATTAAATGATACTCTTATTGTAACGATAAGTACATAAGTACATATTCTGGCAAATGTATTGCCGTTTTATGCATTTTACATTGAAGTAATGTATTCCGCTCTGTTTATCGCATTCTATCATTGGGATTGTACGGTTTTTCAAGATTTCTACGCTTATCGGCGTTTATATATATACATATATATATTTTATCAATGATTTCCGTTTCTACTCTATACTTTTTAAGCTTTTCACGGTAAATTTAACGATCTTGCAATCAACGTTGCGTCGTCTTCAAAAAAAAAAAAAAAAAAAAAGAAAGAATTAACGATTTGACGTAGTCTTTTGTTCAAAGATGGAAGACTAAATTTTAAATGATTATCCAACCAGGTAGAACAGGTGTGAGAATGTGTGAGTGTATAAATGATTTTGCATGAGCATATAATACATGACCTACGCGTATGTGTATGTGTATACGCGCGCGTGTCCACGAACGTGCACGCGAATGCCGGATGGCGATACAGCATGATGTAAAGGAAAGAGATGGGAAGAATTCGGGCGCGGCAACAGTAAACGTTCGATGGATGCATGGGAGAGGAATAAGAGAGAAAAAGAGAGAAGTGAATCGCACGGGGTACGAAAAGAAATCGACTAGCGTTAGATGCATTTATAATTATATTTAACATATGTATATTTATATATACATATATCATATATGGATAATTTTAATATGACAAGATTAAACGCGCGAGCATTTAAAGAGTGTTTGTTACGATTGAAATTATTTAAGAAGTGCAGGAGAGAAAGAGAGAGAGAGAGAGAGAGAGAAAGAGAGAGAGAGAGCATGGCGATAACGGATCTCGACGTTGGTCTTTGCGACCACCGACTTTGCGAATCGAGGCGCCTGATCGAACCGAATCGGCCAAGATATACCGTGTCCAGGGCCATTATAAACGGTGTGTATTATAATTAATGTATCAGCAGCAAGCAAATACACGTATGATATATATATATAAAAAAAAAAAAAAAAAAAAAAAAAAAAAAAAAAAAAAGGAAAAAAAGAATGACGAGTGAAACGCTATTTTATGTATTACGTGCGACGCAACGGCAACGAGAGATCGAAATGAAAAGAATAGGGAGAGAAAGAGGAAGAATTTTTATTTTAGTGGCTAAATAAACCTCCCTCCCACCATCTTGAAGTTCGATAACGTGCTCGCAGTTTCTACTGATTATTCCCTTTCTGATTCCGAAACAACGACTGCTATTATGTCTCACCCGATTGTGCACGCATGCGAACGCATGCGTGCGCGATATTTTCTTTTAAGTTTTGCGTGTGACTTCTCAAACTGATCGTCGTCGAGTCTCGTCGCCGTTCCCCGTCGTTGTTCATACTACGTGTAAATCGGCGATACAAACGAAGAACAAACAATTGGAAAAATATGAAAGAAAAAAAAGAAACATATGGCAATCAGTATATTGTACGACGAGTAACGAGTCTTGTTCATAAACACAGTAAACACGAAATGAGCGGCGTGACTTTTGCGAGAACACAGCCGCCGCAACCCCTCCTCGCGCGGCCAAATAAAAATGGTGTGTCGTTTGGCCACGAGAAACGTCGATATCGTCCCTTATAGCGAACTATCTAGAGAACTATCTCACAACTTGCAACTTGTAACGACAACGACGGAATGCATCCTAGACTCATCGAAAAAGAAGCTCGACGAGGCCACGTAGTGTATTCTATTAGCGTTTAAAAGCGATCGCGAGGAAAATTTATACGAAATACAATTAGCAGCGTAGTACGAAGTTCGAAGAACCGATGCCGAAACACGCACTGTTTCTTAAGACGTATCTTGAAAATATTTGAATGTAAATGAATGACAAAACAATAAAAAGTATACGCTCAAAATTTACAGGCGTAGCAGCACCCCCCCCCCCCTCCCCCGCGGTTATGGATACGAAAGAGAAAAAGAGAGAGAATATTGTTTTTCACTCCGATCCGACACTGGCTCCGGTACTTTTATCAAGTTATTTATAGATCTGTCTCATCGTTTCGCGAGTACGATTGCGACCCGATTTCGACGAACCGTGAAATATCCCCCATCAAGAACGTGTCCCTAACGCTAGAACCACCGACGAGTATAAAACTTGTATTAAAGATATCCAAGTGCAGTTGCGTGGAACAGAAACTTTCACTCATGTTTTGTTAATCTCTAAAGATTCCTCTGGAAAATTGCAAACTAATCATTTTGACGATTGATCTGGTTAACTGAAGAGTTAATTCCGCGCGCGGCTTCCCACTCGATGCGGGATCGTCGACAACCGCGTGTACACATCGATTTCGCTTCTTGCCGGTGATTTTTCGATCGTTTTTAGCACCGTGGCAACGATGCGTCACTCGTTCAAGAACATGACGTAAGGGTCATGAAAAGGAGAGCGTACAGGAAGGTTCGCGTGGACGGAAGAAGGACAGCGTGCGGGGTCGAGGAGAGCTGGCTGGAAGGGGTCCAGAGAGAAGGGGAGAGAATGAATGACGCATAAAACAGCAGGATATCACGGAGGATATCTAGAGTGGCCGATCGCGGTCACGGCGTTTTCGTTCGACGATTACACGGCTACGTACGACATGCACGTACGTGCTTGTCTCGCAGACGTGCTTGCACGTACTTGTACGTATCGGTAGGTAGAGCGAGAGAGGCTATCATGTACGCGCCGTGGGTGCGACCTATGGGTGTTTCGCGGTTCGTTGCGGATCGATAACACGGTGAAGAGTATCGAGAGAGCGCGGCGCGCGTCTGAATCGACCTAAAGTAGTAGGAACGCAGCTGTTCGCCGTAATGGCACGTTCCTCGTCCGCGACTCGCCGAGGGTGATTGCCTGTCGCCGACTGGCGCCGCGCTGGTCACTTCGTCCGTGCCACGCGTGTCCTCTCACGTTTGTTCGATCGAGGGAATCCGTAGCACCTAGCCTGCTACTTGTACGCACTTAGAGCACACGCTGGTCGCGCGCGACAAACGGAAGCCGCCGAGAAACGTCGACCGTGAAACTTGGTTCGAACTGGTCTGGCGGGAATTAAACGAGGTCAGTCGTCACTTGTTAATGTTGGTATCGCGCGGTATCGGTGACTGGAGGAAACGAAAGTAACGAAAGTAACGTAAAGGTAGATGCGGCAAAATAAAACGGCGCTTGCGCCACGCGGATCGCGAACGACCACGCGCTGCGACGAGCGACCAGCGGAATAAGGAGAGACAGACGCGCGTTGCAGTGAGACTTTCGTAGACGACGCGACGCGTGCAGGCGCAGGTGATTCGTGGATAAATACACCGGCAAACGAACGAAAAGGCGCACGTTGCAACGGTCAGAGTCGCATACTGTCACAGTCACACGATAAACGAGTACGAGTAAACGGAGGAAAGCTCGATGGTCTATGTATAATTTTGTAGAGCATCGGCTGAGGTGTATCACCGCGTGTCGAGTCTTGGGCGAAACGGGGAGTAATTGGAGTACTACACGTTGTGTAGTTTCGATTGATCTGACGCAGTGTGCAATAACACGTGTTTGTCGATAACGAAGAGAGGTTAGAGATAATGTATCAAAGAAACAACGCGAGAGAAAACGACTTGATAAGAATAGAGAACGTGCCGGTTGTGTTGGCCACTTGGATCGATGGGAAGTTGTGGAACCGTGGCGAATTAGCTCACCAATTTCTAACCCCGGTTCACTCGTTTCCTTTCACATCTATGGTTCCAAATACGTGAATTTCACGCGCGTACTATGAGCAACGTATGACGCGTTGATTAGATTTGTGTATCACGTGCGTGAATCTCGTAGACATTCTCTCCCTTTTGTCTTCACTTATCTCTTTCTACTTTAATTGTATCAAACATGACGAACAAGACAAACAGATGATCTTTTAATCCTTGTACGAGAACAATTCAATTTATTTAATTACTTCCGCGAACTCGATAATCGCGTTAACGTTCAGATTAGTGCTACGTGGATTTAGAAAAAAAAAAAAAAAAAGCGCCAACGAAGCATTTGTTTCACGTTTCAGCAGCGGATACGTGCTTGTAAAACTCGGAGCTTCGCTCGGATTAAAACGGGCTCGAGTGCAGCCGAAGTTGCAGACGAAAGATCGCGCGCGTTCACTAGATCTGCCAGTGATTCACTAGATCATTGATCGAGGCAACGCGTTCATTGTGTCACAGGCGCTCGACTGATGGCTGTTACGAAACCTGCTTATGCCACGAATAGGAGATGACGCGATCTGCAAATCGCGGGGGATGACGCATTCGATGACGGAACGCACCCGTAAGAAAAGACTTTACCATTGATCGTACACGCAAAAAACATGGAACGATCGATTAATTGTTACACCTTATCTCGTTCTCAATGTTTTTCACGACCTTTCGCGCTATCGATTTCGGAATCTTATTGTAATACATAATTATCTCGTGCCGGTCGAAGATTAGTGGCAAAATCTAATCGATAAACGATCGTCACGAACACGATGATCCAACAAATCAGGCAATATATCTGTCAACGTGTTCTGTACTTGAAACACAGTTTAGTTTAGCGCGCGTTCATTGACCGATCATTGTTGTTTCAGCGTGAAGAAGCGGCAATGAAATCGAACGTGCTTATGGCTCGATCAAGTGGGAACAATTACGATTGCAGTCACGATCACAGTCATCACGCTCATCACGGTGATCACACTGTTATCGGCAACGTCACCGCCAAGGTGCCGAGATTGAGTTTCAAAGAATCAAGATCGATCAGAGAGAGGTATCGTTAGACCACGCGATCTCTGCGAAGCGATAACGACACGAATAACGTCGACGTCTTTCCAAACGCGAGTCATCCTCAGTACATGGAGAGAGGAGGAAGATCAAAGTGAAAACTCAGGCGAGAAAGACGAAGGTCGAAAGCGAGATCGTGCGAGAGAATAAGGCTGCAGGCGAGGAAGAGTCGAAGATGAGGACATCGGCATGAGCCAGGGAAAGCGAAACTGCTGAGAGCGTGGTTTCGGCGTCGGCGAAACCAAGAGACGGAGACAGTGCCGTAGTCCTGGGGGCCCAGGGTATACGCAACATCTATTAATAACTTGGTAATACGGTAGTAGTGGGGCGCTGTCCGCTAGCGGGTGAAAATAGAAAAGAATGTTTTTGGAATCCAATTGGACTTGGTTGGCCGAACGATGGGGCAATATGGCCGACTTGGCCGAGCGGGTGGACGATCTGATATGCAGTTTCGACTCGGCTGGTGACACGACCATGGATACGCTATCGATGCTGATATTCGGCTGGATGTTGTTCGGGCTGGTGGTACTCTGTGTTGGCAAATACGTTTACAATCGGTTCGTTTTGAACGAGCTTGCCTCTGGGACGATTGTTACCGCCAAGGACGGCCATATCGTCCACGGTGATAGCGTCGGTGTCAGTGGTGGTGGTGGTGGTGGTGGTACTGCCGGTGGTGGAGGTGGTGGTGGTGGCGGCAGTGGCGGCAAGTTACTTTCGCTTGGTAAACAAAAAATCGTTTCATCGGGTTCGGCATCGTCGGGTATCGGGGCAGGTGGTGGCGGTGGTGCCGGCTCCGGGTCGCTCGCAGCCGCCGCTCATCCATCCGGTGGCGGTACCAGCTCCGCTTCCGGTATCGGCTCGTCGCCTTCTTCCTACGTCCCGCCGACACCTCCTGTGCGCAAACGTCTCACCGCCCGGAAAACATCCGGTGCTCTCATCAGCCCGGCAAGAAGCAGCAAAAGTTTGAATCTACCGACCGCCACTGGCGCCGATCCGGATGCAGTTCGCTGGGTCAACGAGATCATCGTTTGGCTCTACTCCGATCCGGCGGTTTTGGACGAACTGTTGGCTGTTTGGGTCGGATCCCTCAACGAGTTTACCGCCAATTCTGTTGACGAGGTGAGCCGACACTTTCACTCATTTTGTGTACTATCGTTATCGGTATTCGTCCGACGAGGATACGATTTTTCCAACATTGATCCAAGATCTGGTTCACTATGAAATTTTTCAGCTATATCGAGAGACCACTGACTTATCACTGGATAAGTCACTGGATGAGTGATTGAATTAAAAATGATGTTAAGAAGGAGTTTGGAATCGAACTTTGTTCGACCCATTCGAAATCTGCGTCGAACGCGAGACGTTAATCGGCGAGACTAGATAAGGCAACGCAACGAGTTTCTTGGGTGATGCGTAGGAGTTCTTGAGCAATGAAACCACCGGTTTAACCCGTTTAAGATACGGACAATTTTAACGACAGCCTTGTCAACTTTTGCGCTCGTCAGATTACACGCGTTGGCTCGTTCACTTTCAACAAATACAGATATTCACTCTGCAATAGCCAACCAGAATTTACAAAAACCAAACTTCTCCTTTAAAATATCTCCCGATTTTTTAATTTAAGATAAAAAAAAAAGAAAAAGAATTCGTTTCGCAGCACGGAGTCGGAGTCGAGTTTGTTCGAGTTCTGCCTGAAACACATCCACCGAATCTTTCAAATATCTTTTGCGAGTGCGACTCCAAGGATGACGTGGTACGTACGAAACATTTCTTCTCCAAAGCGAGAGACGGTAATACTGCATCGTCAAGGATCGTTTCGAATGTCTGCTTATTTCCTTTCAGACGATCACGTGCGATTGCGAGGCTACTCCAGCGTTACAGCTAAAAGCGTCCCGCCGGAAAGCCGATAAACTCGAAGTCAGCCACTATCGCGTCAACGTAAATCGCTTCCGCGCGCGATTGAACGTCATTTGCATTACCGAGAAGCTTCTCCTAGATTTGAAATGCGACGGCTGGCCGGACGTTTGTATCCATATTTTTTTACGTTTTAAATTCTTTCTTTGTAACCTGTGGCTATCCGTGGACGGGTCATTATCCTTTTGCTGCTTGGATTTTACGTTAGGTGAAAGTCTCGCTGGCGCAAGTAGGCACGATAAAGAAAGATCTGGACGAGAGCCAGTTGCAGGAAGTCGTAACGGAAATCGTAATAGGCGCGCTAAGGGGGACCAATGTTCATCTGAATTTATTCCAATATCCGAGCTGTCCACGGTTATGGAGGGAACCAGTGGCCACTCAACCCAGCTTTTCGATGCCTATGCATTACGACAACGTGGTAAATTTTCTTTTCTCTTTGTTTAAAGAAGCGAAACAGACTCTTGGCTGTATATATAAACAACTGATTTGTAGACTACGTCGAGCGGTTCGCTTCAAGCCTCGAGACAACGGCTTCAGACTCAAAGTCCAACACCGACGCAGAATCAGTATATATTCAGTGACAGAAGATTGCTCGTTAAAGTGGTCAGAGCGGCGGAATTAGGCGGCGAGCAAGGTGCTTTTGAGCCGTATTGTGTCGTCGAATTGGACGAACCATCGCAGAAAAATCAGACCTCTGTTAAGAAGGACACACGCAATCCATTATGGGACGAGGCATTCTTATTGTAAGTCGTTCGAAATAAAACACATTGCGTGGTGTGAATTCAAAGTTTCAAGAACGATACGATAAATTATAGAGTGACTCGCGAAATTCACGACAAACGCGTCTCAGGGACCGCGAGACCTTGGATCTCATAATCTGTCATAATTTGCAGCGACGTTAATCGGAATACGTCGGAAGTGTTGCTGGAAGTTTACGATCGCGTGAACAAGTCCCAACGATTCTTAGGTTTAGGAATTGTCGGGATCGACGAGCTACTCGCGAATCCGAGCCAGAGGCAGATAATACCGCTTCAAAATCGGCCGTACGAGGAAGAGGATATCACCGGCACCTTGACCGTCGAGGTAAGTAAGAAAATAAGTCGAACGTAACTACGTAACTTAACAAAAGTTTCTCTATTTGCTACGCTGTTTCAACGTTTTCTCACCCCTTCGCTCCTCTCTCTTTCGCTCTCTGTCTCTCTCTTTTCTCAGTTTTTATTCATCGAGGGTGCGGAGGTGCCTCAAATTGGGAGCAAACCTTACAAGGTGAAGGAGACGATAAAGCCGGTGTCACCGACTCCTCGTACCTACACCCCGACAAATCTCATCAGCGACAATAGTCTAAATTACAACAATGGTAACAGCACACTTATCTTGTACGACTCTACCGTTCAACCCGAAGGGGGTAATTACCAATTACTTTATCTGAAAGGCATTGCGTTCGTGTTCACAAGTGTGTGAAAACATAGTGATGATTAGTAACGTTACCGCCCCGTTGAAAAACTCGTCGTGGCCCCGTGACGAGTTTTCCCGTTGATGTACAATCTCGTTGAAACGGAATCGTCGTTTCGCATAATGTGTATTTTTTAACTGTACCGTAGATCCTGTTTTCTCTTCTACAACTATAGAATAATACGAGTGTTTACGCTCGTTCATTAGCATTCTATCCTCCCACTTTCATTCGCGCGCCTGCATCTCTAGTGTATCCGGATTTGTACCTTCCGCTAGTAATTCGCATGACGTATGTTTATTCGTATGTACAAGTATAGATATTCTCTACCTGTCACCCTTCTCATCTTTCAACTCCGTTTTATTTAACTCATTAAGGATCAGAAATTCTTTTCGATCAAATTCTACTATTCAATATCGAGGCTGCGAGAGGAAATTACGCAAGGATGTTGATCTTTCATCTACGTAGATTATACAAAATTTCATGAATTTTCAAAAAAATTGATGTGAATTACCGTTTGGTCTTAATGGGTTAACGATCCTGCAGCACGAGATATGAAACGATTTCACGCTCACGCTCTCGGCCCGAGTTTTCTACGATAGACGAGCTCTTTGAAGTTATTTCGACTACCAGAGAAACAAACCTGGCAAATCACAATGACAGCGAATGTAACGCGCTTGCATAATCGCGGTCACGTTGCCAGACAGGCGAAAACTCGTCTGGTAAACGAAATGACGAATGTTTTGGTGGAATGATGGACGTAGAAAGTCGTAAACCTTTCGGCATTCTTCTCCTCTTCGACGAATTTCAACTATATTTTAAACGATAAAATCTGTGTAATTCCGCAGATTACCTGACGAACGGCAACGTGGTGGACTCGCCTTACAGAACCGGTCAAACTAACGGGAACAAAGGAACTTTGATCGTGCACAGCCAGCAAAGGGTACGCCCCATGAATCTATCTACCTTGAATGCAATTACGTTATATATCAGACTTATGCAAACTTTTCTCCGTTTACTAACACCTGTTGTCTATCTTTTTTTTTCCGTTGTGTCTTTTCTTTTGCAGCAGCCAGAGCGGCAGGTAGTTAAGGTAAGCCAATGCTTGACGTCGTGTCGTCTCAATCGTGTCATCATCAACGCGATCGTGCTAAATCTGCGCACCACTGTTCCATCACCACATTCTTCACATCCCTTTTTTGTTTCACGCGTATCTTCATAATTCGCGAGTCTACTCTATCAGAAGTACTCTATCACAGTAGCTCCAACATTCCTTGCGTTTTTCACGATCGTTTCCCTTTTAATTTTTCACGGAACTTTCCTCCTCTGCTTTTCTTACATTCCCTATGTTCCTACATTCGCGTTGCATCTGCGAATCGAATTTGGAGATGAAGCAGCGTCCATACGTCTCACGAGAACACTAATTATCGTCAGTTGAGTGGCGTGTGTTTACTAATTCCACAGGTCGCCCTGACGGAAAGTGGCAACTGGCAGGAAATCTCTCCGGAGGTAATTATCCTTGTTGTCACGAGATTGTTTCGCGTGTTATTCTTAACGTCGCGTCGTCCCAATTCCGCGTCTCTCGCACAATCTCGCTAATTGCATTAGAGTCGAATACAAAGAGAAACCTTTTTGAACAATGTGACGATTTGACGATGCTTGTTGGAAACAACCGTAACCTTAACTATATCTATAAAAACGTTTCACTTCCTTCGTTTCAGCATGGACCGAAAGACACCAGCGTGACGTCGGGACCAGAAAGCACGCCAAATTCTTCCAATTCCGAAGGTATTATTTCGTCCATCGCATGATCCCCTTCCTTTTTCTTTTCTTCTTTTATATATATATCGGTATTGCTCATCGTGTACTCCTCCGTTCGTAAATATTACAATCGACTCAAATTATTAAAGCAAGTGATCGAGCATGATCGTGATTTTGCGAGATTCTGTAATCTTTGTTTATCTTCGCATAAGCCTTAAACGATTCTTAAAGATCTTAGGAACATTTCTGAGGTTTCTCACTTTCTATAAGTACCTTGATATCCTCGTGAATGGGGGTGTGACACACGATGAGACAGCCAAGACTAGAATCTGAACAAATACCGTTGAAACTGCTTTAAACAGAAAACAAGTGGTTTCAGCTAAAAATCGTCAAAGTATATTCGTCTCAAGTATAGTTTTTTCTTTCCCAGTCTAAAAGTTTCGAATTCTATCTTAGCCGACTGAATCTTAGACAGCGGCATCTCGTACTTCTTTTTTCTTTTTATTCTAGAGAGAGGGAGAACGAGAAGAAAACGACGAGACTTCTTCGGCACGATAAAGAAACGGCTGAGCCGATCGAAGACGAGGAGCAGATCGGTCGGACCGGAAGGCGACGCGAACCACGAGGATCAACACTCCAGATCTGTGTCCGCGGACAGAGCGCGTGATCCTGGCTCGGGTACGTTTTACTCGCGCGTAGACGAAAACAATTCCTGATTTAGAACAGAGTTAGTTCTTCCTCCCACTAGTAGAGGCTCGAGCCTTTAGCGTGAAAATTCTACTTGTTTGTTTTGCACGCGAATCCCGAATTAAATTGCCCGTTGGTGAGTACAATCATCTTGATAGCGGTGATGCAACGAGCAACACAGCGCAGATTTTCTCGGAGCTTCGTAAAATGATGAATCAGCAAGAAAAAAAGAAAGAAAGAAAAATAAGATACACGAACGCTAAAATCACAACGCTAACGCTACTGCCAGTGCAAGATATTTCCCTCGTGCAAATAACGCTGACGCAACGCGACTAACGCAAACATCCAGGTGCAAACGACCGTTTCGCTTAAATTTTATAGCTCGTTTATCGATACCAGGGAGGGAAGAGCATTCGAGGAGATCGAGTTTGAGCGAAGCGTCCGGTATAAGCGGAGCGTCGACCAGAACATACGTAAACGAGGCTTCCACCTTAGTTCTCGAGACGCTCGAGAACGGTATCAAAAAGTAAAGAATACAATATTTTATGGCTCTCGCACTGTTGCAAGCCAGACGAACGACAGTTGACCTTTGGCTACTTTGATTTTCAGGCATTACCTAGTACCATTGTCGCTCGCTCAAAAGAGCAAATGGCGGAAGAAAGGCACGAAGCTTCACATATTCAACGATCACACTTTCATAGCGAAACACATGCCTGGGTAAGCTATTACGGGACAGAGAAATCGAGAGTTATGCTACCGTACAGCGCACCTCGTGGATTTTAATTAGCTTAGAGGTTAATTAGCTTGTCAATGTTAATGTTCTCGGTTGCGTAAAAGTTGTGCAAAAGTTCCTAGCCAAATGGATTTTTCACCTTACGTTTCAGTTCTCGTCGTCTCGTTTACTAATATTATCGATCGCATAACGATCTTTATCCGTGTTTTTTCTTTATAATGCTAATTAAAATTCTTCGGAGTATAAAGTGAAAATCATAGCCGGTGGGTAAAACGAAACGTTTCGTTCCAGTGGGACTGTATGCGAGGTGTGTAAGCGAACGCTCGCGCGAAGATTGGGCAAGCAGGGTTACGAGTGCAGAGACTGTTTAATGAAATGTCACAAGCATTGTCACGTCAAGGTGGACACTACGTGTCCCACATCCACCATTCAGAGCATCGAACTGTAAGTAGACAAAGACTGTCATAGGATTTCGTTATCCTACGATTTCGCATCGAGTCGTTTCAAAATCAAGGGAATGTGTGTCACTATGTGTTTTAATCTAAGAAAATATTCTCGCGGATATCACGAGCTAATCATGTCTTTTTTTTTTTATCTAATTGTCGCGTAAGGTCTCTACTGCCGGTACTCAGTGAATAAGATGGGTAAGTTCTCGACAAAGAAGAACTCATTGGCATAAGTCTCTGAATAACAAGTAGTTGCGCATGAACGACGAATCTATCTGCTCTCTTTCTTCTCTGTAACAGCTGCGATATGATAAAAATTGATTCGACGCAGTTCCATGTGATTTTGTTATTTATTTTTAGTGTCTTGCGACGATCATGGAACGCGCGAGGTTTCGTACCGTTGCTTTTGCAAGTACTAATCATTTTAAGATCTTCGTATGATAGAAAACAACGTTAATATTATTAACCCTGGTGTGGTCACGAGTTGAATAAAGTTTTAATTATTTTTCTATTTTCAAATGAAAACATCGTTACGGAAAATTTTGCAAGATTCTCGTTCGAATTTTATGCAAAAGTTTGGAGTATTGTCCGCATAAGGGTTAATCGTCTGTCTCTTCCTAATAAATAATTCGACTGTCTGTGAAAGATTATGGATTATCTTCTATTTTATTACAATCCTCAGTAATAATTTGCTTCTTGTGTTTTTGTTTTGTCAGTGCTAGAAGGCAGACAAACTTCCTACTATCTGCAGCTAATACTTACGCTAACGATCGTAGATATTTAAATTAATGTATTCAAGATCGATGAGTTTTCACGAAGTTGTCTTTAGTGACTAAACGGCCTCTGTATTGTATTTTAACAAATTGAAGAATAAATGAACGTATAAATTATAAATCTCTCGTATAAATACGTAAAAGTCTATCAATAATAACAAATCTCTGCCAATAATTTTATCGCTTGACTCAACGCCAAAATCATCGGTCTGGAATGCGTTAGATTTGATATGATCGAGTACCTTCAATAAAACTTTATAATTTCTTTTAGAACGTGCGTAAAGGCGCCACGGGCCGAGCGCAGATCGACCAGTCGGCTTTGCTGATGAAACCTTTGACGAACGTGTTCGATCACAACCATCGAAACGTTCATCCAGCTTGGGATCATGTTCAGGAAACGAATCATTTGCCCTATTGAAAATCGTCGTTCGAAATCGCTTCGTACGTAGTCGCACATCTGCGAAGCGAATCCTGGCCACGCTACGCCACGTTGTAGGCAACCACGCGCGGAGGGAGAAGGCAGCAAACCTACACGTACACGATAAGCGTTACGATTTGCTTCCAAGCACGAAGCGCCTTTGAACGCCCATTCTGCACCATTCTGTTACGCTACTACTTATTACGCTTTTTAATCTATACAAAACGAACACGAAACGCGAACGTGAACGTGAATACGAAATACTCGAAAACGAAGCGAACGAAACGAAACAGATCGACACTTTCCGTGGACAAGATTTTACGATTCTCTGGTTCCAATTGTGACGATAGTTGAGAACAAAGTTGGCTCCGGAAAGTTTTGGTTTTTTTTTTTTTTTAAGTACACGTACAAATTTAAATTACTCTGCGAATATCTACACGGTGAGGTGACATTTGTAATAACAATTTCCGAGTGTCTGAAAATTTTCGAAATGTCCACGGAAAGGTCAAGAAAGAAACGGAAGAGAACCGTGCCGATAACTTTCCTCTAGAAGCAAAACGTTCTTCGGGTTCGGACGGTGGCGAGGAGTGAACGTGATACGTCAGAAACGATTGAACTTAAATAACGTTCGCGACGAATGATCAAACATTCATCCGTTACTATTTATTCTAGTTTTCCTCAGAGTCCCCTCGAATTTTCACGAAACTTTTTACAGTTAAGGGAACCGCCGATTTTCTATCGATTCTTAATCTTAAGCCTTAAGCGATCACGATCATTTTCCTTTTTCTCTCCTTCGTTCGTTTCTCTAGCTCGTTCTTTTAGAAACACGTGAGCGACCCTTCCTTAACCATTTCGAGTAGCATGCACAGTTGTTTGTCCGCTGCTGTACAGCGTTCTTTGGAATAAAAATTTCTAAAATTTGTGAATTCAATCGTTTTCTACATACGCGGAGAGAAATCTCTACCGATGGCAATAATATGACTGAAATTTGAAATTTGATTTTTTTTTTTTTTTTAAGAAGCACGAAGATATTATGTTCAGAGTACTGAAAAATGTGATTCTATGTTTCGTTATGTAGTCGCCGGTGTCCCGTTGGTCTCGAAAGGGTTGAGGGATATGCACGATAAAATTTGCGGGAAATTGTAGTACATCGAGACGAGAAACGAAACGCGTGAACGATAGTGCCTCTAGATACGAAAGTTCGTCGTTATCTTTTGAAATATTGTAACTTTATCCCGTGAAAGTAATACTTTTGACAATATACTCGATCGTTCTATTCGCAGAATTCGATCGATCAATCAAACTCAAATACAAACGCTTCAACGCGCACACTTGTGCCTACGTATGCGTAAAGAAAGCATCGTAATCCTCGAATAATACGCATTACCGGCTGATAAATATTACTGTAATCATAATTATTACGATTGATGATTACGATCACGACAATTATAATTATTATTGCTATTACTATTATTCTATATTATTATTATTATTATTGTTGTTGTTACCAACGTCATTGTTTACGATTGTTACTACCATTCATAAGGATAGAAAATAATGTTCATGGTTGATGTACGACAAACATTACCACGGTGATATTCCAGCAGGTGTTGTAACGATGATGATAATGATAATAATACTGTGTTACGTTGAAAGAAATAATATGGTTACATGATTATGATTCTATGCCACTTTATTGGCTCCATCTTTCTTCCTTTTCCTTTGGTTCTCCCTGTTTTGAAATATTCAAATCTATTTTTGAACATTATATATTTATAAAGATATTCATAAAGATTACATTATATATATAAAGATTGCAGAAAAAAACGCGGTAAATGCGATATTTCGATTTATAAAGTTGTTAATTTTTCGTTAAGCTACGAAGGAAAAAAGAACCATTTTGACAACATGAAATTAATTGACTTGAAAGTTCTCTCTGCTAAAACATTCGAATAACTTGCTCGACCGATGCTACAAAATCCGAAATGAAAAATGATATCAACTTCATACATCAACGATTGACGAATGAGTGACAAGGTCGAAGCTTATGGATCGCTGTGCGAGAAAGACGACAGTAGGAAGTGAAAAGTCGGAGTTCATGGATGAAAAGGGAGCGTACGAGATACTTTACGATCACCGGTCGTTTAGTCTAGATTAGGGATGAGGTCAAGTCCAATATGTATCTATAAATCTTAGTCAGGTTCCATATCCAAGTTTCGTTATATAAATTTCGAGTACTACGCAAAGTTCATGTTGGGTACACTTGCAATTTGTCTGTTTTATGCAAGGAAGTGTACCCACGGGGTTACTCTTGCCAGTACCTGATAAGATTCAAATAATAAAGGAAGTGCAGCATATATTGTGTAGTCATGGTTAAAACATGTCAAAACTTTATTAATTATTTAATTATTTAATCTATTTGTTTGGTTGTTAATTTGATTTTATGACCATTTCGAGAATACAAGTAGAATTTTAGATTTTAATGTCGCTGATTCCGAATGTCATTGATTATTCCAAAACCTTGCACTCTTTTTCTTTCACATCTTTAATATTCGAATGATTGCTCTCCTACGCTATGATTTTTATCACAGAAAATAATTTTATCGTCCGCTTGGATATGTTTAAAGCGATTTTAATAAAAAAAAAGGAAAAAAAGAAGCAAGCTACAAATAAAAGTTCCATTAGAGATATGCATTTAGAAATGGCTCGAATCCAATGACTAGAGGTTCGAATCTACTTGTGAGGTACTCGGTCCCATCTCTAGTCTAGATTCGGTTGGGAGCCTGCGAGGTGCGACTGAAAGTGGAACAACGTCGACCCAATTCGAGGTCGAAGCCCCAATTTTCGCGAAGTTGGCGAGAGCGGGGGATCGACAACGGGACGACGGTAGCCATGACGACGTGACGTAATATCCAACGTCATCGACAAAGCGCAACGACCCGGCCGTACACGTTCCTCCGCGGCGATGGCTACATCCGAGGGTTGAATGAGGTGGTGCGGAGCGCGGCGAATTTTCGATTGTCTCCGTTCCGATTGATTCATTTTTCTGCACTGTTTAACAAACGGCTTTCGCCGGGAGTATCCCCCTGTTTCGTCGATTTCGAAGTCCAAGAGAAAGACGATGCACTCGAAAATCGTTCATACACACGCGCGTGCGTGCATACACGTACACGCGTCGTTTCCATGTGGAGAACGACAGGAGGAGACGCGGAGTGGTTGTATCACGAGAGCGGATATACGTTATAAAACAGCGGTGGAACGTATGGCGCAACGTGTGTACGCAGGGTGCAGCTGCGTACGAACGCGCGCACGAGGATGGGTCAAGTACGAAGGATAGAAAGACAAGCTGCAACCAGGTTTATTCAATCGCAAGCTCGGGGAATTAGGACGCGTTGTCGACGGCCTTCTCAATGACGTCGGTGACGTCACTAGTTTCGAAGGAAAACTAGGACAAACGGAGCGGAGAAAAAGAAACGTCGCACGAAAATCAGCGATCGTCGCCATAGCTGCTCCTCTACCTCTCCCCCTTTCTCGCAACAAATCTACGAATCTAGATCCATCCGCTCCGTCCAGGCCGTCTTTTCTATGTCCCTCTTCGTATCGTAAGTCCAGTATCGCAATAAGTCAGTTTCGAGAACTGAAGAGACACGAGGAGATAGGGAAACGAGCAGAGGAGAGTCTCGGAGTTGAACGGAAGTCGGGCAAAGCAGGGAACGGGAGAGAGAACGGATATCGAGCCGACGACTAGAAACGACGGAAATCGCGCGTCCACCGGTGACAAGTACAAGAGGTGTTGCGATGGGGATCCTTGAATGAACTATGGTATTTCGTAGGGACGACACTAGCAGTGATCTGGGTCAAAGAAGGGTCGTGAATGGCGTCGCTTGCCGCGAGTGACGTCACCAAGGGGTGCAAACCCCTGCAAGTGGGTCACTCGTTGATTCTGTCATGGCCGTAGCTATAAACGGACCAGGGACGTCCTTCCACGTTTCCACTCCGTCTTTCCGCGAATCGTGTTCCGGTACCGCGGGGGAGGGGGGGGGGAGGCACGTTGCATACGGATCGCCCCGGGTCGACTCTCGTTCTCTGACAGTCGTCCATCGATATGGGACCGGAAGTCTTCCGCCTCTTATATCGATTATTTCAAGGCGAGCGTGTCGTATATCGCGCGGGCATATCGCTAACTGGACTGGCATTTACTCGATTTAACTTCATCCTTCGGGGAATGGCTCTGTCTCGGATAACGGACAGAAACGTAATGAAATTAACGAATGGAACATGGTTCGTGGGAAGATGATGATGAATGCGCGTGTGTAATTCGAGGAACCCGATGCTACGGGGGAGGGTGAGGTAGGGCTACAAACGTCGGCGAAATAATTTGAATGAAAAACGTTTATTTGAAACGTAAACTACGAGTAGTATCGACATAGGTATAATACTTAATATAAAATGTTCAGTCCTGAGAATCTGCATTTCTCGCACATTCTTGTTCTCGTTCTCGTTTTTTCAATTCTCGCGTTCTTTTGGCTCTTGTATCTCTTGGCGCGAGAGTCATCGCGCATACGCGAATTCGAACTCGTGTCGGAGAGACACTCACGTTAGGCGTGTTCTCGCGTTCCTCGCGTTCCATTTTCTTTTTTTCTGCGTTCTCGTCGCAAGATATAGATTCGTACAATCGTTTCTGTGCCAATTGTTTCGCGACATACCGTGTCACTCACGCGGTAGATATTTACAAGGCACTGAAGGATCGCGTACACATACATTTCGCGATTACGTTCGCCTTCACGTTTAAATGAGAACTTTCGACGATTAAATTTAAGAAAAAGAGATTTTCCATTTGTCACGAGGTCTCGTTTGCAATTCGATTCGCCGCAGCCGCTCGATTTCTATCGATTCGTTTCTGTTTTTCGAGTTTTACTCGGTACACCTACTCGAGAATGAAGCTTGGACCGAAAACGAGATCGGAAACAGAACTATCTGCTCCCTTTTTCGTTCGCCAGTACTCGCCGAACGACTGTTGGTACACCAAACCTTACGAAAGGAGGAACAGACACTTCAGAAACTCGTTTCAACTCGCGCGACGTGATTTCGCCTGTCTGAACGCTGAACGAGCGGTTGCGCCAAACGAACATCGCGATATCATTTGCGAATCGTGATATGTTTTAAAAGTACCCTTAACGAACAAGTTAACTCTAATCTATCCGAAATATTCACGACCGAACGTCACGTCGGACAGTTAGCGATAATAATGGCGTGAGACCGCGGCCGTTTCACCTCGATTTCATCTCGACACTCGCTTCCATCCATCGCTAACAGAGAAAAAGAAGTCCACGCGTCTCCACGTAATTGACTCGCATATCGCGATAACCGGCCTCGGTTTCGCGCCAATTCGTGTTTTGATCTTCTTGCGAAACGGTACATACTTCGACAGAAATGCGTTGAGAAAAATGTGCCTCGTTGCGAATTTGACAAGGAAAGTGCAAATAGTGTAAGAAAGATCGGTATGTAGTGTTCAATCTTCTTTTTTAGATGTTTCCTTCCTTTTAGAGCTTTCCTTCTGTTTTTTATGTGATCTTTGTACTCGCGATCGAAACTCGGGATCGCCAATTGATCGTCTAGCTATTGAATTCGTTCGCGCGTTTAACATAATTGGTATCGCTAGCGTACATGTTCTTATCTCGACTAATCGTTCTGCTACAAAAAGGTACATACATGTTTGCACAACTACGTTCTGTGTCTAACTGTGATCTATCTCGCTTATTACGAATAAGAGACCAACAACTTAAAACGCGGTGAAAGGTCGACGCACTTCTACGACGAACTTTCTACCTACGGCGATTTTCGCCCTCGCGTTTCTCACCCTCGTCTCTCCCTTTTTGTCCGACGACCACCACCGACGAGATCCAATCTGTTCTCGACAGAAAAGATGATCACGACGGCGGGAGAATGGAGGAAATTTCACTTAGAATCTTCCTAGAAGAGCGGAGAGACGCGAAACGCTGTGCAGGATCGCGCCGCATCGCTACGTAGACGCGAAGATTTACCGAATCTTCGACTTGTTACAATTAATTCGTACGCTCGTATTTTTGCTCCTAGATTCGTATACGTTTTGATCCACTCGTTTGGTCAAGAGTTTTTGCAAAAACGGCGGCGAAGAAATGGCCGCGATTGACAAAAGTAGAAAGTACGAAAAAGCAGAAAGCCGCAGGGGGGTTTTGACGAATTTAGGCAGATCGTTCGCGGATGAACATCTCGCTCGCAGAGAATGGTCCAAGAGTGGAGGGGGTCCGTTCGGTTGTTCTCGAGACGATCGCGCAACGAAACGCGCGAGATCGACTGCAATGACGAGAATAAGATGAGAGAATATAAAGAGAAAGAGAGAGAGAGAAAGTCGAATTGAAGTGAGCCAGGTGAATCGGTCGAAACGAAGATGAGGCTCGGACGAACCGAGAAATTTGCACTCTCTCTTTCTCTCTCTATCGGTAGAGACCGACGGAATGTTGACAGGAACAGGGCATCGCCAGTTGCTGCGCCACGTTCCTCGGAACCCTCTGCGTTGGTAGGCCGGAAAGACCTCTGACGTACGTGTACGACACCGGACTGCGTAGAATTCTTTTCGGGCTCTTTTTCGCGTGCTTGTTCTCCTTTCCCTCCCACTTGGATGAAATCTTGAGTGTCTGCAGCGCCCTTCGAAGCGTGTCCGCGGTGGTGGATCTCTTGAGCGAGTCGCTGTCGGTGCTGCTGTGCGCGTCCGATGGACTCGAGGAGTACGAGAGCGACTCGGACGTTCTCCCAACGCCTCGGACGTCTCCGGGACTCCAGGAGCGCGAGGATTTGGCCCGAACACGCTCCGAGCTTCTCTGAACACTGGAGAGTCTCTCCTGCGAGCGAGTTGGCCGACCGCGAAGTCGGTCCAAGTAGCAATGAGTCCTCGGCGATCTGGTGGCGCGGCACAGCCGTTCGCTGCTACCGCGACGCGACAGCCTCTCCGCGCTTCCGGTGCTTCCACCGCTGCTGCATCCGCTGTCTGTGCTGCACTCGTCGTCCCCGAACTCCTGCTTCGAGGATCCAGGGCCGCCGGTCGGGCTGACTCGTCGTTTCGCGTCGCCCTTCTGACTCTCACGGCGATGATCGTCCTCGGGATCGGTCAGTCTCGTCGTGTCCTCCATTCCCAACGATGGACGAAGGCCACTGATTCGATCGAGATCGCGGACTAAAATCTGCACCGTTCGGCCGGCCAGGTTTCAAAAGTTTCGTTCCGCTATGAAACTACGTTCGTTCAGTGTTCGCACGAGTTTCACTCGATCATGCTCTCCGGCGTTAAACGATCGAAAACGCACGCGCTTCCTGTCACACGCATGCGGTTAATCAATCCCACACACTTGTCACACTGCTTTGATGCTGTTCGTGCGGATAAACTACAGTCGTTCGTTGTCGATTACTCGTTGATTGCTCTTGCTTCCCTCTTGCCGATTCTTATCGGCTTTTTGTCGGACTTTCTTTCGCACTTCCTTCCCAGTTGCTCGTCCTTGTTGAGGAGGGAACGCGGTTTCGTTAATCGTTACTTGGCTTCGACTGCAAACACGCGCAGGTTAATGCAGATTAATGCAGACAAATGTTCGCCGCCGTGTATTTCGCACGCTTTCGAAAGCTGACTGAGACACGGAGATTCGCGGTCTTCTCTTATATAGCGTTGCGGCTTTGCGGAGGGTGCGCGCATGTCCTCTCCACCACGTGAGGGTTCGAGCCGTATCTCCGCGGAGGACGCGGCGTCGGGATGAATGCGGCGGACGCGGTTTCCCGATGCTGCTGAACCGGACGCGATTCACCAATCGGGACGCCATTTTCGGTATTTTTGTAACCACTTCTACATCAATCGAACTGTCCGCGGCATATTTTTACACGTTCCACCGCTCACATCTCAAATATACTCGAAATACACTCTCGCGGACCACGGCGGATCGAGTGAAAAGAATAGAGAATCGTTGCTTAAAGATGCAAAGCTGGTTCTCTTTTTAAGCTGTGGGGCATGTATCATCAATGACGTAACGAGAATGAGAACGTCGAACCTTCTCGCGTGAACGCGGAACGATCGATATTCTCCCGATGGAAACGAATTCGTTAAAATTGGCAATGCCGCGATTTAACGGACGCTGATGCGAGAATGTGGAACGGAGGTAGTAGATAAGGACAAAAGAGGGCAGTAATGGGGACAGTGCAAGTATTGTATCGCGTCTCGATGCAGCGAGGTTGGTGAACTCGACCCGGCGATCGATGCCAAGGGGTGGTTGTACCATGCAGGCTGATCGCATCGCCGCCAGCGCTGGATGCACCCGAATGATCAATAATTTTGTAAATAACAACGCGAATACAGAATGTAAGATAATACCCGAGAAATATTAACGCTCGGATAGTTTTATACTCTAGTATGCGTAGCAACGATCAGGTCAGATCGATAACACGTATACAGAAGAAAATTTTTATACCATATCTTCCAAGTTATTCTCCCAAGCTTCCGTTATTTAATAATTAAATTGAAAAGTACATTTACGATGTATATTTTTCCCGGCGTAGGGAAATTTGCTAATATTATATTTTGTAAATATTAATATATTTTGTTAAATATTATTTATTACTATATTCACTTTATAACTTTATTATACTCGAATCATTGCATTATCGTCGTCGAATATTTTTACTAATGTAATTTTTGTTTTAATTTAACTTTATCGATGTTATATTTACATTGTAAATTTACTATAAATCAAATCACTGCATTATCGTCGTTCGAGGGTTGATATATATCCGGACCGATAATTTTTCACCAACAGATTGATACATAATGGAGAAGAACGCGCGTTAGTAGATTCTTACGTCTGTTACTGCAGGATAATAAGAAACGTAACCACCTCCGTCGTAACCACCTACTCTTAATAGATTATACGTAAATCTCCCTCTTCGCGGGCACACGATCGAAGAAAAGTTTCGTTCTCGATATTATTACTCCAGCACGTGCGATAGCAAGAATACTGCAACGCGGTACACGTTGCCATTTCGAAGCGCAACGTGACGTGGCTCCGACATTTGTCGGAGACAATTCAACGGAGGAAATCGTATCGATTCCATCGAGAAATTCGTCTCGTACACCGTTTATAAGCCACGTTGGTAAATTAACGGCGCGTTCAGTTAAACAAGGCAGCCAACGAGCCTCGAACGGTGTGTCCAGCAGCGTGCATCCTTTTGTACAGCGTATGTACGTGGTTGTGAGAAACATCGCATTTACCTTTTACGTAACGGCGCTGATATTGTTGTTGCCCGCATAATTGATTTGTCGTCGTTCGTAAAAACAAAAGGCCACTAACGGCCTTGCACAATTTCAGTGAAACGAAACGATACCACTCTCGTCATCGACGGCGAATTTCTGATCAGAATTCTTACTGAAATAATGGGAACCAATCGTTTAACGCGCGGAATAACAGTCGTGTACTGTAAATTCTTGGGATTTGGATCGTATTGTCATTGTGGAACATCGTGCATTTCTTTTTCGTATCAGCCAACAGCATTTCTTAGCGTGTTTTCTCGCTCGTGAATTGAAATCGTGCGTACGTTTGATCAGTCAGGCGTGTGCGACACACGATGTAACGTCGTACTTCGCTTTAAAGTTGGAGAGAACAATGTGAGAGTTCATTCCAGAAACAACAAAGGAAGTTCGTTTCTCGTAGTCGCGTCAGTTTTCTATGTGACGAACATTTGACAAAGAATCTTTTCACTTTGAACGAACATTTGAGTCGAAGATTTGAGCACTTTTCACTTCCTACAGACTTGTTTCAAACGAATGTTTCTCGTTCGTTTCAATGCACTTCAGAGCGCACGTACATGTATTCAAGTACACACACACACCCACTTATATGACAGTGGGTGGAGAACGATTATTCAGACTGCGATCATGCCCACGTCCATTCTTACATAATGGATTTATAGGGTAACGACGAATCGCGTAACAGGATCTGCGCGAGGGGCTCTCATTAACGAACAAACAAATAAATCGTCGAAATGTACAATGCGCCGCGTCGAAAGACACGCCACTCAACCCACATCCCCCTAAAAAAAAAAAAAAAAAGAAAACATTCTGTTTGCGTTTAAATGGTTTTATTGACACCGAATTGAAAAGTGACAGAACATTGTCAATAAAGGTGATAGAGAGTCGAAGCGCAGACGGCGTTTCGCTGAAGATATAAAGATGGGGTTATTGAATTTCTTTCGGTATGAGTATGAGTCGACGATCGGCTGATTGTTCTTCGATGTGATTCGTTTCGATCGATCGATCCGCGTATTCTCGTCGATCGCAACGTTAGATGATGTAGCTTTTGTAGATGTAAGGGGCACTGTAGGGGTAATTAATATAGGGAATCGACGCAGGGTAGTTCGAGTAGAGAAGGGGTCCGATCGGATTGGGGAGAAGAGCCGGTGCCAACGGAGCCAGTGGAGCGCCGATTAGAGCTGCGCTGGAAGGTGCTGGGGCTGGGGCTGGAGCTGGAGCTGGAGCTGGAGCTGGAGCGGGAGCCGGCGCGGCCAACGCAACGGCCAACAATCCAGCGAACAACAGCTATGTAGTTGAAAAAAGTTCCGATTAGAAGAAGATTCTTCCTTTGCTTACCCTCTTTTCGGTCGCTCCGTTCGATTGATCAAACGCTCAGTCTCCGAGCACTCACCGTTTTGAACATGGTTATCGGGCTTGGAGCGAGTACGTACGTAACACACAACGTAAAAGCGGCGGGATGATTATGCTCGAATCCCGAGGAAACGCCGCTTATATAGGGGAAACCGCGACAAAGATTCTCATCTTTCTACACACACCCCTTCCCTTTTGCCCATCTCCCCAATATCTCGCGTTCCTTTTCTCCGCATCTCTGGTATTCCACGAAGGGCAACAGCCGGTCTTCCATGCAGAGACCATGAACGAGACACGCTCGCTTCCTTCTTGTTGGTAGGTGCAATTTTTTTCCACCGGCCGACCAATCCACTTCTCCCTTTGCACCATCTCTGGCGGATGGTTTTCCTCTGTATCGGCCGACTACTGGCGAATCACCCGTTGCTTCAAGGTTGCACGAGTTGCGAGTCTTTCTTTCTTTCTTTTTTTTTTTTCCTACCGTCAACTGACCAATCGACTTCTCCCTTTGTATCGTCTCTGCGGATGATGGTTTTCCATGTATCGGTCAGCTACCGGCGAATCGCGGGGTTCTTCAAGGTTGCACCAGGACCAGGCGTGTCCCAGCACATTGTGCGTCATTTCCTTCTCTTTCACAAGCCCGCACACTCGGGGGAACAACTTTTTCTCCACCGAGCGCAAACAGGTTTTCCTTTTATTCTCCTTTTATTGCTCGCTGTCCTTGCTACTTCGAAAAACGATTGATGATCCAAAGATCGTTCAATGACTCGTCGACTGCTCGCTTGAAATTATTAACAATCCATCCGCGTGATCGTTTGTCCTTTTTTCGAACGCTTTTACGTTCGTGAAAGAAAAGCGGAGAGTGGATCGAGGGAGTGGAGAAAACGCGACTTTGAAAACCATACGGAACAGCGGATTTCAATTGAAAATTTTCCCGCTCTTAAATTACGGATTGGCTCGTAAATATATATACGATAAAACGGGCGAACGTGTTGTACCCTCTCTCGTCGAGGCGTACAGGCCGATGGGGAGAACCTGGGACCTTACCCGGACTCGACGAACTTGAACTTGGGAAAAAAGCATTCGCTTTGCCTTGGAATTGCGCAGCCTTGTGGTAAACCAGACAGGAAGACAGAGCGAGTGAAACGCGAAGACAGAAGAGGGATGCAAATGACCAGATCCAGCGAGTGAAAGGCATAGGGGACAATCGATGTATTACAACGAGATTGGAAAAAAAAAAAACGGAAACGCGTCCAATCACGAACAATCTATTTTATTATCCAAATAGCGCATCCAAATGTTTATTATAGATTACATCTATAATCAAGTCTAACGTACACATCAACAATTCGAACAAGGATGAGAAAGTGGGAGACAATTAGAAATCAAAAGCGATGAAATACCAAAGCAGATGCAGATAGATCGTGTGGGAAGCGATCTGCGTAATCACCCGGCCGGCATTATAACCTTGTTATGCGTTCCAACCGGACAGGCACGTAGCCGAGAGGGATTATACAATTGTTCGACGTGGTCGCTTACATAATTTCACGATAACGGTGGAAGTGTCCGTCCTGTGCTTTCTTTCTCTTTCGATCAAGGTCATTGAAATCGATCGATCCGTTCGCTGCCAGCGACGGCTAGGCGAACGCGAACGGTTTGAAAATACGATAGAGGATGAGGAACGCGTCGGCTGTACGCGCGATGCCGCGCGCCTGGCATTCCAATGAAAGGCGCAACCAACGAAACTGATACCAAAGGTGACTACGCCGAGGAGGCCGCGGCTTTCGCAAGCCGCGCATCCACTTTTCGTAAGTCCACCACCCCAACGGTGAACGCTAGTATAAAATGTGGACACTTGGACGATTCTCCACTCATCGTTCAACAGCCGAATCGAGCAATTCCCAAGCCTGACAATGATCAAGACAGCGGTAAGTAGCTTAATCGAGCGATACAGGCTTTGTTCAGATTCTACGAATATTGTTAGAATAGATAGAACTGTAGAAGAACTTGAAAAGTGTAGAAGTGAATAGGATGTGTCGCGTAATTTGTATTATATTCTGTAATTTCTATTAATTTCTAAAAAACCGTTTCGTACGAAATATAATTTCGACTTTTTTTTTTTTTTTTTGAATTGCACCAAAAGTAAATTATTCGTCACTATCAATTGCCTTTATTTTCAACCACCGGAAGAGAACGAGGAGTTCCATTTTTAACTCTATTCTATTTGGAACTTTGCAGTGCATCGTCCTTTTTATGGCAGCCGTGGCGTCTGCTGGATTACTCCACGCCGCCCCCTTGGTGGCTGCACCAGCGGCGGTGGCTGCTCTTCCAGCACCGATCGTAACTGCTAGAAGCAGCCAAGTTGTGGCTAGGAACTACAATACATTCGCTGCTGCGCCACTCGCAGCTTATGCCGCCGCCGTACCTGCAGCTGTGCCCGCAGCTTTACCAGCAGCCGCCCCGGCACCCATTGCTCTGGCTGCACCGGCTGCACCAGCCGCACCGTTGCCATACGCTGCGTTCACCTACGCTGCTCTATGATTTCATCTCTGATACTTCGGCCATCTACCTGATCTATTTAGTTTTAAGTCTCTTGTTTTTATGCAATAAATCGAAAACTTAAGCAAAGAAAGCAAAACGACTTCACATTTTTATTTGCCTGCAATTTCTTTTCCATTTCGTACGCGCAGCGTGTGTGTTTGACAAAGCAATTGACCGTTGCTTTTGCTTGAAGAAAGCCGAATGAGATTAAAATGTTAACACGTCCACGAATGACGAAGCAATTCTCTCTTGCGACAGATGATAGATGAATGATAATAGAAATTATATAGCAAAATACAAGTTTGCTTGTTTACGATCTGTTCGTGAACTCTACGGTCCGTGCAAATCATTTGCATACGTCGTGCCATTGTTCGAAGTCAGGGATAGTACAAAGGATGCTGCGCAGTGGGCATCAGATCATCGTTAGATATTATAATAACCAACTCTCTGTGAACTATAGTGGTACCATGTACTGTATCATCGGGGAATATTCATTGTACATATGTAATTTAAACTTTTCCTCTCTACCAAGTATCGAAATGAAGAATTTCTAAAAAACGATATTTCCTGAATATCTCTTGGCTCTTGTTATTCAAGCTAAACTGGTAGCGATATCGTTACCAATGAGGAAATGAAATTCCAACAAAGCACCCAAATGCATGATAAGTATGTAACAGGATTTTCGTACCTGGATTGAGAGTGAAGTTCGATACAGTATTCCGCGTATCGATGAACCGAGGGAAAGTTACGAGAAGCAAGTTGATGAACAAGACAGCGTTTCCAGTAGGAAATTCAAGTCACGTCGGACGAACGATCTTCGAAACTTGCGATGTCCCAATCGTAGACATCGTGCAGCGCGCATGGCCGCGTTTCGTATTTAGAACGAGCATGAGCCGCACCCAAACATATATCACACGTTCAAAATGAACTTCAAATGATATCCACGTCTTCGTTAACGTTGCACCAATTTGAAGATCGTAGAAATCCCGAAAAATCAAGCTACGTTCAACCGAGTATTCTTATTCAAAACATCACTCTTCAATCACTTTCGAAATTTCTTTTTCGAAAAAATTGATAGACTTGTTTGTTACCAAAGTTGTTTCATATATATTTATCTTTGTATCCTTAATTTTCTTTTTTTCGAGTGGACATTAAAAAATAATTCTGGCTGATACGATACGGAATATTCTACTTATCTGAATGGAAACGATTCTTAATTCTTTATTGTAAAAATTCTTCCATTCGATTTACTAATGAAAATGATGAAATTACAATAAAAAATATTGAAATAGACCGATGTTTTTATATATTACATGTCAAGTAACTTTTAATTATAATGACTACAATGACTAAAATAATTTGCTAAACTTGAATTGAATGTCGGGTTTCCTCGCGATCCTTTTCACGTTTTATGAAAACTAGAAAGAACAAATTCAAAATAAATTAGTAAACACAATTCTGAAAATACGGAATCTAAACTATAACGAGTGAAATAAAAGATTTCGTTGATTTGCAATCTCTCTAAGAGAACTGAATAGCAAACGTGCATCTTGCGAGGGATCTCTAACATTTTTCACTTTGTTTCACGTTCGTTTCTTCCGACGATCTATAATATACGACGGCGCGCATATCCTGTTCGATAGTATAATATATTACTGTCAGATTGCGTGCGGCGGTGGCCAAAGAAAAATGTTACAGACAAAGGACGTTCGAAGGTAACGCGTATCCGCGGTGAACGACCCGAACAAACCCGTGTGACCAGGAACCACGAGTTTAACACATGTTAATTGTTACATGAAATTTTATATATTTCGACTATGAGACACGACCACGTCCAATTTTTATCAAATATTATTTTGTACGTTGCAATAAAATTATATTACCTCGTATCTCTTTGTCGGCTAAGCGACTTGCCGCAACGACTCTAAAAGAGAAATAGAAACGCCAGTCACCGGTGACCACCTCAACGTGAGTTAAGGTCAAAAAAATTAGAGAGAAAGAAAAAAACGAAGGCTAGATTTGACCATAGAGATAGTTGCTGTGTGTTCACAGGCGTGGCCTAAAACGAGCAAAGGTAATTCGGTATGCAGAAGCTTCATCGTATCATGAACCATTGTTGCGGACATGCCCCGCAACAGTGGGGGTATATTACTGGACGAAACTGACTATAAAAGACCTCTAGCCAATTCACATGACAGTACAGTTGTACATTGCAATCCACCCGATCCACTTTCGAGACCTCAACAACTAAAAATGTTCGCCGTGAAATTCTTGGTAAGTTGACCGAGAAGCAAATTCGAGAAGTTGCTTCTTGCGAGGACAAGTCTGACATATACGTATAATAAAACCTTGTCTGTTCTAATTACTCTTGTTAGTTTGGAGAACAGAATTTAAAGTTCCCTTTTTGACAATTCTATACAAAGTTCACAACAGAAGAACATAATTTCTATTATAATTTTCTGATCTCTCTATTCTCATCGCCTCCCCTGCAATTCTATTCGTAGATCCGGTGGCTTCTGGCCAACTCGTAAATTAATATATCCGTAATGATAACATCTGTTGGTTAAAGTTGATACAATTGAATCGCGCTCGTCCAAGATTATTTCACTATCAATGACATACAGATACAAAATTAACATATACACTCGCGTGGTATTAACGCGAACGTGGGAGGAAAGTGAACAATTAACTAAACCGAATCTGTTCTCTGTTTCTTTTGCGAATAGGTTCTGCTCGCCGGTTTGATCGGCGCGTGTTCCGCCGGTTTATTGCCAGCAGCGGTGCCAGCAGCGGCGGTCGCAGCACCGATTCCAGCGGCGTTGACGATCGGTACCTACGCCTCCAGCTACAACGCGCACGCGATCAATCACGCGGTCGCTGCACCGTACGTCGCCAGCCCTGTGATCGCCCACGCCGCTGCTCCCCTCGCTTATTCCAGCCTTCCAGCTGCTCAGCTCGCCTATTCCGGCGTTCCTGCCGCCACTCTCATCGCCGGCAGACGCTGAAAATCGTAACCAAGAAGCCCGCGGCGGTCGCGAATTCGAGGACAGTCCAGCAGAAACATCCGGTTACGTCTCGACGCAACGGCCATCCTCAACAGCTGAAACAACCGACTAACCTTCGACACCGTGCTGCTGTTCCCCTACCACGGTAACAAGATCCTGGATCCTCAGTGAATGTCACTGATCTGGACTAACAAATCGACGGCCGTCGACGCTTCAGGATGCTTTCTTCCTCGTTCTATGCTTCTTTCCGCCTTCTATTATCCGCCGACCCGACCAAGTTTCTCGCTTTGTAAAAAGGAATAAAATTTATTTTCTTTTCGTATTTTTTCTGAAATTTGTCTGTATTGTCTGTTCTATCCTATCCTGTTCTTTGATTTTGATTGACATCCAGGAAGAAGAGGATTTTATTGTTCTCAAAATTTCCTCAAAGATCTTTGTCTGTTTCATTCTTTTATAATAAATTAAATCGAATTTCTTTCTCTTTCGTCGTGAATCTGTCGTAAAAGTGAGAGATGGAGAGATTCTCTCGAGATAGAAGGAAAAAAGAAATAGATGAACTGATAATATTAAAAACTCCATTCTTTTATTTTATTATCCTTTCATAATAATTTCCAACTCTCCCTCTCTCTCACTCTCTTTAGATGCAACTTCAGTAAAAACGAAAACTCAGACCCAGGGCTGGGGAAAATTTGAAATAATTTGATATAAAATAGTAAACATTGAAATATTAGCAAATACTATTTCATTTATTGCTTAAATGAAATACTGTTTCATTAAATATTTAAATCATGAGAAAATACTATTTATTACTTTCACTCGGATACAAATCGGATTAAATATCAAGTATATACGAGATATAGACGTGTATATATATATACTATTAGTTGCAATACCACTATTCTAAATACTATTTCCATATGTAACTACACACATGAGAAAATAAAAATATTCACATTCTATTTCATATTTACTATTTCTTCCCAGCCCAGCTCAGAACGTTTCGATCTCGATTGTATCGAGAAAGGAAAGAGAGCGAGATAGATAGAGAGTTGAACTTGGCGAGACAAGCGATGGGAGACAAAAGATCCAAGGCAACCGTGAAACAAACGACAACTCGTTGATTAGTCTCGCTGGTTTCGTGCTTTTTCACGTTCTTGCATACGCTTAAGAAGAATTCGTAGCATCGTGCTAATTTTTCAAAAATTTTGTATAATAAAGGAAATTCAAGAAGAATAGAGATAAGAGGAAAGTGAACAGAGATTCTACAAAGGTCGTAGAAAGAGGAAACTGGAAAAATGCGTGAGATCGCCCATCTCCAAGCTGGTCAATGCGGCAATCAAATTGGGGCCAAGGTATTTTATTAAACGATTCTATTCGATTAAGTACCAAATCGTAAAATAACAGGGAATGCTGCGTATGTTTAATATTGAAATAAGAACTGTAACATCGCGATGAAAAAAAATTCTTAATTAAATCCTGGAATTTCCTTTCAAAGGTCATTTATAAAGTCTAAAAATTAACAAATGACGAATTCGACATTTTGTCGTAAATCCATTAAATGTTAGCAGGACGTTTGCTGAAATTAAAGTAAACAGACGAAGATTCAGCTTCACGTCTCAGTAATTTCTGTGCAAACACCAGGTCAATGAAAATCGAGTCGATCATTTAATACTACCAATTTACTAATATATAATATACTCTTTTATCGGAGCTACCGTCTCATCGCTGCAAACTGTTCAAATTTCATTTTTAATTTCATCCCCTTCGACAGAGTCTCAATTTTCACGATCTTTCAACAGTTTTGGGAAGTAATTTCTGACGAGCATGGTATCGATCCAACGGGTACCTATCACGGTGATTCCGATCTTCAGCTGGAACGTATAAACGTTTATTACAACGAGGCGTCAGGGGGAAAGTACGTCCCGAGAGCGATCCTGGTCGATTTGGAACCCGGAACCATGGACGCGGTACGCTCCGGGCCGTTTGGTCAGATATTTCGACCGGACAATTTCGTTTTTGGACAAAGCGGCGCTGGGAATAATTGGGCCAAAGGACACTACACTGAGGGAGCGGAACTCGTCGACTCGGTCCTGGACGTTGTACGGAAGGAAGCTGAGAGCTGCGATTGCCTTCAGGGTTTTCAGTTGACTCACTCTCTTGGTGGAGGGACCGGTGCCGGAATGGGCACGTTGCTTATTTCCAAGATTCGCGAAGAATACCCGGATAGAATTATGATGACGTTCAGCGTGGTACCCTCCCCGAAGGTATTTTCTTTCACCCCGTGGTAGTAATAGTAAATTTGCAATATCATTTATTCAATTCATCTCATAGAGAGCATTCTTTGTTGACAATTTTACTTAAAATGCAAAAAAAAAAAATTCAGATATTACTTTTTATTTCTAAGCGAAATTTTACCAATTTTCTGAACCAAGTACTTGGCGATCTACCATCGTAAGGAATCGTAGAAATAAATCACCTGTGTTTACAGGTATCGGATACCGTGGTCGAACCCTACAACTGCACCCTCTCCGTGCACCAATTGGTCGAGAACACGGACGAATCTTACTGTATCGACAACGAAGCCCTCTACGACATTTGCTTCCGCACTTTGAAGTTAACAACGCCGACCTACGGTGATTTGAATCACTTGGTGAGCGCGACGCTCAGCGGTGTGACCACGTGTTTGAGATTCCCTGGTCAGCTAAACGCTGACCTACGCAAACTCGCTGTAAATATGGTACCGTTTCCCCGGTTGCACTTCTTCATCCCTGGTTTTGCACCGTTGACCTCCAGGTGTAGTATCACATGACCGTTTATCGTCTTTGATCGCCAGTAAGTAACGAAAGTTCGTCATTTCTCCGGGTGTGTCGTTTTTCTCGAGACAGAGGCTCGCAGCAGTACAGAGCTCTCACGGTGCCAGAGCTCACCCAGCAAATGTTCGACGCGAAGAACATGATGGCAGCGTGCGATCCTCGCCACGGTCGTTACTTGACCGTCGCCGCTGTGTTTCGAGGCCGGATGTCAATGAAAGAGGTGGACGAACAAATGCTCAACATACAGAACAAGAACAGTAGTTACTTCGTCGAGTGGATCCCCAGTAACGTCAAAACCGCCGTCTGCGATATCCCTCCGCGTGGGTTAAAGATGTCGGCAACTTTCATCGGCAATTCGACGGCCATTCAGGTATACTCGGATATTCTCGAATATGAAACGCAGTCGTAAATTACAGTTTTGTTGGTTAACGGGGCCGTATCCATTATCGAGCCACACCCAGGACCATACGTCCTGCTTTTTACAAGCAATTTATGCCTTGGACTGCACAAATCACTCTGCTTGATGTTCGTTGTTAAACTGAAAGATACAACCGCCGTTGTAATTGAACTTCAGTTCTTTAATTGGCATCCATAAAAGCAGAAATTCGCATTAACATCAGTTTATCTGTAATCGATGAGATTTTCATAATATCACAAGGTACCAAACGATTCCCAAACGAAAGCCTCAGGGTCTTTAACAAATTCGTGACGACTATAGTATGTAGATGTTCGCAGATATTAATGTACACTCTGTTTTAAATAATTTATATACTTTAACGTAACACGCAAATTTTTGCACAAATTCACAATCCGCTAGTGACTTTTTAATTTTCATAGTCACATAAGAGTAAAGTATACTTTCTAAAAAGAGAACTCTGAAACTGGTTCGAGCTCTTTATTTCAAAATATTTCAATTATTATGCGAGCGTCGACGCTGGAAATTAACTCTTTGCTGATTTTACGACCGCGTCGTTTACTCGACTACCTCCAACTGAATCAATTTAATTAGTTACGATTGTCCCAAGCGAAAGAAACAGTTTTATACAGATCCGTATTTTTGCGTGAATTTAGGAATTGTTCAAAAGAGTATCGGAACAATTCACGGCGATGTTCAGGCGGAAGGCTTTCCTGCACTGGTACACAGGAGAGGGCATGGACGAAATGGAATTCACCGAGGCTGAAAGCAATATGAACGACCTGGTATCCGAATACCAGCAATATCAAGAAGCCACCGCCGAAGAAGAGGGCGAATATGACGAAGAGGAAGAGGCCGAGGGTGAACATCCGTGAGCTTGAATTATTTCTACAAAACTATATATATATATAAAACAAGTTAACAAGTTAATATATATAACAAGTCGTTCGTTATAAAAATACGCATGTATCACACGAACTGGTTTCACGAATTAAAATAGATTTCATTTTCTTCACACGTTCTCAACTCTTCCACCACACCCTTCTCCTAACTATCCATAACTTGTCTTCTAACAATAAGTCAGCATTATTGTATCTCTAGAGGAAAAAAAATAACGCATCAACTACGTTTTTTCAATATAATATATAAAAAAAATCAACCACAATATGATCTTTTTCTTGGCGAGTTGAACAAGTGAAAAACACGATGAAAGTACCGAAAGATCTTACGTCGCACGTTATGATTAATCATCGTAATTACGTAAATTCGTGCAATTTTCTTATACCAGTTCTCCGAGTACGAGAATTCACCTTGAGATAAGCAACCCGAAAATCGTTGTCGAGATATACGTAATTACGACTATGCGTAACAGCTACAATTTAAGAACTTGAATTTTAACATCGAAAGTTTTTATAAATCTGAATTAATAATACTAACTTAGAAGAAAATTGAGTCAATAAAAATGTATAATATCTTGAAGAAAGCTACGTGCGGCTGAGGTTTCGTTTAAAGAAACGTTCCCTTGTTGAAATATCTCTTTTTGGCCATCGAATGACGCTATAGTCAGGAAAGAAAGACTTATCGTATTTTTCCCGTGTGAACTTCAATTGTTCTCGGTAATTATAGTCGGCTGACGACGCAACTATCGATAAATCTCGTTCCCCTTGATCCGTTTAGCGGAAAGTTTCTCATGCATCTATGCACGTCTGCATGGTCTGTGAGTCTCGCAGTAAATACCGCTGATACATCGGCGATGAAAGCGTACACGTCGAAGTTTCAACCATCGACCATGAATCATCGAGCATTCCGCGAGAGAATGAAACGATAGCATTGTCAACGGGATATTGTTATATTCGAGGTGGTTCGTGGTTCTTTCACGGGCTATGGCGTTCTACATTCGATCGGTTGAGGTCCCATCAAGATTACTACATTCGCGGTTAGCCAGGCACGAACAGACAACATTATGTTCAAGACCTCGCTTTTCAAGTTATTTATCGTCTTTGTACATCTTTTTTGGTCCTTTCGTACGCAATTTCTTCCTCTCGGTTTCTCGAGTTACAGCGTGTTCCAATTTTACCCCTTGAATCTCCGTTCAATGTGGTCGAGTTTCCTGTCAGTTGCTTACGAAAGTATCTGGACACTTGTAGAAACCTTTCAAAAGCGTATAATGTGCAATAAAGAGATTTGAGAAACGCATACAGATGTTGCAAAGATATTTATTACATTCGTAAGTTTCAAGATGATTAGTCGTATAAATATTTTGTAACTTCTATCGTTTCATACGCGTTTCCAAATTTAGGAAAAATTAGAAACTCGGACATTGCGAAACAGTTTTGTTAACTTTTGAAGCCCCACTTTTTCTTCTCGTTAAAATTCGGTTCAATTACGCAACACGATGCGTTCCAGAATCATAACTGCCATGTCATACAGGGGTTGCCAGAAAGTCGACTGATCTGGCCGAGGCTTCGCTCTTCTCATTATCGAAGAGAATGTCTATTCCAGCTATATCCCCCCCCCCCCTCCCGCAAAACTATATCGAGCCACGAATCTAATATGTAACCATTTAAGTACTTATGTGCGTCGAAAACAAGTTACGAGCGCGCCGATATAACCGAAGCAGATGGAAATAGACTGCAACTATCGATTACTGGAAATCCGTTTGTCTGCACGGCGACAGAAATTTGACCGATCGCAGCGCAGTTTAAAGACTGTCGAAAAGAACACGAAATTGGCTGTCGACGTCTGTGATCGACGATAAAACCAGCAAACGAAAATGTGCGCGATACGTATCGCGATTTCAGGCGGCGATAGCCATCGAAAGCGATTCGATCAGCGAACTTAATCCGAGTCGAGGCGATAATCGCGAAAGCCAACGCCCTAAGTACTTACGACAATACTCTCGACACGCGACATTGCCGCGATCGCGATGCAAACAGCGATTCGATCGACGAACGACGCTGCTCGCTTTTATACCGTAGCATCCCCCATCCGAAGGAGCTGGTCAACTTTTCAAAGAGACGCCCAGAGGAGCGTTTCAAGAGTCTCGAAAAATCCTGTCGCTCGGTGTCATAATCCGAAAGTCCTTTCGCACGATATCTGTCGGGTGAGGCCAAGGCATTCCGGATTTGGGCGTTGCTAGGCTATCAGCGATATCTTACGCCGATTCGGCCTCCGATGATCGACCGTTCCTTGTACGCAATCGAAAGCTGTCGATGTGTCGACCAGACGATCGAAGGCCGAAATGAGAAAAAATCAAAGATGATGGAGGAAAAGAAAGATGAAAAAGAAAACTATAAGCTCGTGGAGGACGAATTTCATGTCGGATGGCGTTCACTGACGGTGGCGTTAAGAGCTCGAACAAGTTTACACGAAACGCGACCTTGCCACGAAGTACGCGGCTAGTCATTGACAGAAAGATTAATGAGATCGAAAAGAAGAGAGCCGGGCAGGGGGAGGTGAAACGGCGGGAGAAAAATTTAGATGAGGTGGACTGGTTCCGGAAAGAAGCCGGCCAGCACCTGGCAAATTATGCGTGAACGCATGCGGTCGCACAATCGAATCAAGGCGATCGTCACCGCTTTCGCAAACAACAGTGTCACAACAACGTCAGGCCCCGTTTTTTTCGCCTTTAACCTGGTGCAACGCGGCCTCCCTCTAAACGATGCGTCGCGACGCGTCTCGTTACGGTAGTAGCGTAGTGGGCGTTTAAAACATACGGCTTACCAATTGTTACTTAATCGCGTCCGATGCTCGAAGTAAACACGATGTCTGTATAACGTAATCGGTATCGGCATTAACTTCCATCGGTATTGGCGCGTTACGTTAGCGTGGAAATAGAGAACGGATTACGGGACGAGGCTCGCGTATATTAATTAACGAACGGTCCGGTTAACTAACTGAAATTATCTCGAAATACGAAGGATATTCGCTCGTTATAGACGTCGCCGATAGATCCTATAATCACCGATAGATACAGTTAGCAGCTACTCGTAGAGAGTGTGGTAGTTCTGGATCAGCTAGATTCTAGCGCCGATGATGATGTCGATAGAAATAAGAAAGATGCGGTGTAAGATCTACAGTCTTTGTGGTGTTGTAACCAAAGCGTAAAAAAAAAAAGAAAAAAGAAAGAGAGAGAAAGAGAGAGAAAGAAAGAAAAGTACGTTTCGAGTACGTTGCACGCGGATCCAGATCAAGATCTCCATTATCCTTGGCAATGTTCTCCCCACATGTTGTACGAACCGAAACGAAAGGACCCTGAATCTTTCTAGTAACCGAAGGTAGTGGGAAGAGTGGTAGCGAACAGTCTCGTTCTGGCTAGTCGAATCAGGAGTAGGTGTTGTAACTGTATGATCGAAGCACGAGGTGGGAGAGGTCAACTCGGGAGGATAAAAGGGTAGCGACTCCGCTGGTCAAGCATCATTCGGCTCTCAGCAATCTCAGCTGTTATAGCACGAACCTTCTCAAAGTCTCATTATCTTTTTCTCTGTTGAGCAACCGCACGACTATCTACCACAACCATGAATAAAATCGTCGCTCTGTTCGCTCTCTTCGCCTGTGCCCTGGCCGCCCCAGCACCGGAACCTGCACCAGGTTTCCTGGCCGCCGCACCAGCAGCCTACCACGCTGCTCCTCTCGTCGCGGCACCTGTCGCCGCTGCACCTCTCGCAGTAGCTCACACTGTACCCGTTGCCACCAGCTACGCCAACACCTACAAACTCTCGGTCAGGAGCCCGGTAGTGGCCGCAGCACCCTACATCGCAGCTCCAGTAGCGACTGCAGCCGTCGTCAAGACCGCCGCTCCCATCGTCGCCGCTGCACCGGCCGCAACCGTCCTCGCACACGCCCCGGTCGTCGCATACTGAGCTATACCAACTTCGTAAAACACCAAGATGAAAAACAACGGGTCCACATCGCCAGCAGCTCTAGTCGACCGTGCTCTCAACGACCACGTCGATGACCGAGGATCATTCCACCTGGCATCCGGACACGACTCGAGAATCGACGCTATCGGCTAATTATCTTCAATAAATTTTTTGCTAATTTTCAATTTTAAAGATGTTTCTTTCTTTCTCCTTTGACTTTCTTATTTCCTAGTCTGGTCTCTAGCAGTTCCTAGTAATTTATCCTACTGCTTTTTTTTTGAAATCGTTTCCCTTAATTAGAAGGACGATATTGGAAATGTTCTCGAGGCTTTTTCGATAATATTTGATTTATTCCACGAGCTTCGAAATTGGATTTAAAGATGCTGGAGTTGAAATTTAATTGAAGGTTGTAATTTATTTGAAAATGTAGAACCGGTTGAAAGTTAGAATGACGCGAGATGATGAAGTGGAAAATATAGGAAGATTTTGAATATTCGAGAAATTTCCTGGGTAGTTTGCCTGACCTCGAGTTTAAGGACAAGCAACCCGCCAACCGGTTACAATTATAAACTTGATTTTTGTCGTCCAAACAGGCACGCCCTTATCCCTTCCTCGCCTGAGGCTATCGGCACCGTGTTTTACGCGAAAATTTATATTTCCATTGTCTTCCTTTCCGGGAACTTTTAATAGGTGATCAACCCTCAAATGGTGTCCTCAAATTTACGTTGCAATGCATTTTATTTCGCATTTTGCATTCTCTCTGACACAAACTAGCGATAAAGTTAAATCGAATAAAAAAAACTCCAAAATTAAGTAAATTCCAATGTCCCCCGATATCCAATGATAGCAAAAAATGCAGTGTTCGATAAAAATACTATTGCTGTTTAATTAAAAAATCCGGTAACAGAAGGTTCAACGTATCGATAATTATGGAAAGCAATTTTCTTCTGTATCTCGATGTCAATGTATTATATCACTTTCATCCGGTTGTGTCAACCAGTGCTTGCTGTGATGTAAATACGATGATATTTATTATCTCTGAACTCACTTTTCGACTATTGCGCCTTGACGATTCTATTTTTCGTCGTTCTTTGTGGAAGATTTCTTTGATGTAGAATTAGATGGTACGAGCGCCCGTATACCGTCAAAATTTTCATTTTATCGTCGAAATTTTCAAGCTTACGAAGAATTTTCGACTCCAAAATTCCTTTTGGCAATAAATGGTTGAATATATTGCAAGATCGTTTGACTGAATTATCGAGCTAGAAGTCGAAAAAAACGTTCCTTAGGATTTTTCACAGCGGTTCAAGGTAAAGCCAAGTTACAGGATAAGTCCCGCCCCTAAAGTCGAGGCGGAATGCAAAGTCGTGTAGGGACTTGGGTTCCCTACTCGTGGACGAGGACGGGTTTCCTTTTTACAGCACCAACAAGATCTGTATAAGTACGAGAGATCCGAGTCGATCCTCGACCAGAAATAAAGGAGCATCTTGACGCGTGGATACAGAAAACTCGGAATCATCATGCTTAAATTCGTGAGTAAAGGCCTTTCCTAGGGCTATGGTTACAGTGGATCTGCGTTCTGACGAACTGTCGTCCTAATACACGATTGATTTTCGAAAAACGATGATTTACTTCCACAAATAATGGTAAATTCCGTGGTAAATTAAAAAAAAAAAAAAAAACAGTGTAAGCCTATTCTTTTTGCATTTTTTAATTTACAGACCAATGTGACTTGTGAATTGAAATTACTTACTGCTGATGGAAAATTTAAAGATTTAAAAATTCGTAGACTACGCAGAATATGTAAAACATAATGTACGAAATGTAATATTTGTAACATTTAATACATAAAATAGATTCCATAAAAGCATGAATCTCCGTAGACATCCAATTCTGGCTCTTAGCATTTCGGTTTTCAAATTTTCTAGTCTACTCGTCAGAACGTGCATCCACCGTAACTACAACCCGACGTGTTTAAAGAAAAAGAAAAAAATCGACTGAATCGTAGCTGTCTTGGTCTGTCGAAAAACAACCACCTTCCCTTTTTATAGATCGTTCTTATTGTCGCGATCGCGACGGTTCACACCGCTCCGACGTCTCCGTCGGCACCTAGAGCGGAGATTTCCGAAGGATCTGCCAGCTTGCCAACCCCAGCACCGACGCCAGCACCGGCTTTAGACTCGTCGTCTTCGTCTCTACCACCAGCAAGATCCGCCGCGTCGGCGAAAGCTCTCACCACGATAACCGAGATAAAAACACCAGCCTCGACGACGAAACTGGCGCATTGGCTAGCCGCTGCGCCCGTCTTATCGCCTTTACAGGTATGTTCACGGATTTTAATTCAACAATATAAAACTCGTAGTAGAAAAATGTGTATATAATATAATAGAAGATATCTCCAAAAAAATGCAGCGTTACAAGTTCATAAAATTTTTGCTGGAAAATATTGATCATTTTGACTCCTCTCTCTCTCCCTCTCTCTGCTAGTTTTAGTATTAATCGCAAGACGTTTCGTGAATAGAATCTGGCATACCAGATCAGGTACAATAAAATATTAGAATTTACAAATCTATAAAGCGGTACGAGTCTTGGAGACTTCATGTTCGACTGAGCAAGCCTCTCCAAGTTTCTCTCGCGCACTCGAGGTAACTTCGATTCCATTTCAGGTGTCGCCGTACGCTTACGCGTTACCAGCGCTCGAACTAGCAGCAGCACCTTCCACTTACTCGATCGAGCAGCACGGATATCGCATTATCTACTAGCATCGTGAACCGTGAATCGTCGCTCGTCGTTGGATTCAGGTGGTAACGCGGCTCGACGAGTCCAGCGTGTACCAACATGGAGAAAACGACCTCCTTCCTCACCATCAGTCATCTCCTCATGTATCGTGCACCGATAAATCCCCTTGACGCATCACCTAATGTTTAATCCATATCAAATATACATCAGCTCATGAAAATCGATGCTTTGTTCGAGTATATTTGTACCCTTCCTCCGCCTTCCTTCAACGTGCATCGAAATCGAAAGTGAAAATGAAGCCTGCTTTCTCTCTGGGCTGCTAACGAAACTCTTTTCAGGCGATGCGAAGATGACGCACGTAGAATAACAATACGCTTCGACCTGTCGTACGTAATCCGTAGTTCGTAATATTTGTTCCCTCGTCGCCGAAAATGTAAAACATGTATCAGTGAACGCAAGATTTTCCCAGAAATCATAAATTTTTGAAGTCGTCAATTCTAAAAGCGAAATTTCTATAGAAAAACGATGAATTGAATTGACATTTTGATTATATTCCGACGTTATGAAATTAGTTTCAATAATTGGAACATTCCTCCGACTTGCTGGTTTTCCCAGAAACTTTCGCAAAGGTAATTCAATGACGATTTCACTGCGATCGCATAAATTGGCACGCGTAAAACCCAGAGGGTTACGAGAGAGGGTGGAAAATCCAGGTTACGTAACTGAACACGGCACGATGTTGTACATACCGTACACATTCGTATCCAATGTTTCACGATTGCTGGCAATTTAACTTGGATCCGACCTCTCTGGTTGAATTCACAAAATCTCACGCAGTAAAAACAATTTCCTTCGTTTTCCTCATTTTCTTCTTTTATCGATGGACATTTGTCGAACTGATCGCGACAGTTGGATAAACCAAGGAACACTTTCTCCCGGATCTCGAAAGCGCGACGTCGATCAACTCGCTATGAAAATGGTTTTTGTGGAGGCGTTCGAAAATAACCGTCGGCTTGAAAAAAATGTTAGTCAGGAAACGTATCAAAAGGTCGAAGCATCCAAACACGGAACGCTTTAAAGCTGGACCAGTGGTTCCTTTACTTTCCCATTGTAGCGGGATAACAGAGAGAAACCATCAACTTTCTTGTTCAATCGGATCGCACTCCGTGATTTCCTGCCGACTCGTAACGCAACGAATTTAGTTTAAAAATGAAAACCGAATTAAATTCGGTTGATACTTGCGCTGCTACTTGATAGTAAGATTCTTTAGTATTATAACGTTTGGCTGAATAATGTGACTGTCAAAATTTAATAATAAAATTGTTAAACGTTATTATGTTTCCAAATCGATCATACCATACTTAAATCTAAGGTCGGTTTGTTTTTAAACGAGGACGCTCGGTGATCGACGTTATGTAAGTAAGTTAACGAAAATCCACGCGTTACACAATGTGCTTGCGTAGATCTGTACGCACCTACGCCGCTTAGTGCCGCGTCATTCGATCCATAAATTTGCATCTACGCAACAAATCACTGCTTCTTCTTTCTCTTCTTTTTCCTTTTTTTGTTATCGATCTAACTCTCATCGTCATAGATTGTCAATATGCAGACATCATCTCGATAGGAGATCACCCTCGCAATTTGCAACGTCGAACTATCACAAGCAGGGAAATCCATGGAAGTTCGCTGACATTTCGTTTTCGTTTCTACTCGTCGACGTTTCCTTTGATAGAAAGTTCGTTCAAAGCGTAATTATGCGTGGAAAGTTGAGGGAAAAAAAATCATACAATGCGACGCGACTCGCATTGGCCAATCGCGTGGCGTGGCGCGAATTTTACACGAGCGTTCGATACAAAAGTACACGACGCGTACTTCGAGGAACCTATCCGAAACGGACGTCCGGCTGCTATGAGTCACAAGTGTAACCCCACCGCAAGTTCTTTTGCTTGGTTCTCAGCATCTTCGAAAGGGACGTCTATATAAGATAGGAATGGCATCGGTGAACGCGCAGAGTAACCTCGTTCATGGAGAAAGCGTTTGGTTAGAGAGTGAAACTCGACGCATCGCAAACGTTCCCTGTCTGGGCCACCGGTTACAAAGATCTTCAATTAGCGGCAACAACTTTGAATCGCGATAACATTTAAGGTAAGAATCTCCAAACAGGATTCTACTTTTCATATCTCTTCGATCTTCATCTTCGATCCTCAATACTTTTCCTTTTTCTTTCATTTTTCTCTTTTTTTTTTTTTTTTTCACCCGCGTTATTTCAAACTCACCGCTCGACTCGATGATATTGTCCGACGATCCATTTCCTTTTTCGATTTTTTTTTTCTGCTTGACATTCAACGGGCGCGACGCAAATTGTTTACACCGGGAAAATATTACGTAACAACTTTCACCGCGGTCTAAATTTTCGAAAGAACGCCCACTTGGAAAACACACAGATGCTAATGTAGACGTGTAAGAGACGCGGAGTATCACGCAAAGACCAGTTTAGCGACTTTCTCCCAACGTCCTCTCGCTTTCGTTGGACGGTTTGTCGGTCGGCCGTCACTATTGTTCGAGACCTCCGCACGATCCGCCGGCAACCACCTTTTTCGCGGCACTTTCTTCGATTTGAAACACGTCACGATCGATAATCCCGAAAATTTTTTCGAAACTAAACGTTCGAGGTAAGTGAAACGCTAAAAGTTACTCTAAAAGTTACATTTTTAATATCTACTTATAATCTGTAATTATATCGCGAAAAAACTGTATTTTTATGTTATATTATATTTATTATTTTATTATTATATCACATTATAATTATTGTATTACACTATTATTATTATTTTATCATTATAAAATAGTAAATCTCACAACGATAGATTTTTAAAATACATTATAACAAAATTCGAAAAGATCTAATAAAACTACTCTCAAATTCTAACGCGCTAGATCTTCGGTTACGAGAAATTCTTGAGTAGTTACGACAATAAGTAAGATGCGCTTTCGACATGAAACGATTCTCGAATCCGAACACTTTCTACAGTGGCATTCGAATTGCAAATCAGTAAATAATTTTCCATTGATTTTTCTCTTTCTAGAATGATGTTGCGGTTCGTTTGGTTACTGGGTATAGTCGTTCATGGTTTTGCCACACAAGTGACAGTGAATAATCCCGAATGGTCGTGGCAAACAGAAGACACGATACCAACCAGCGAATCCGATAATCAAGACAAAGCAGAGACTCAGGATAAAAGAGCTATTTTTGATGCAAATGTAAATGGAAACATCGAAATTGTCAATCCACCTAACGAACAACGATCGGTAATGAATCTAGTTGGAACATCTTGTTATGTGATTTAACTATAGCAAAATTCCCTTATTTTGTTAAATTAACGAGACAGCTATGTTTCTATCGTAGGTGGAATCGGTGGTCGATGAAATTCTCGTCTCTAATCGACAGGGTCGCAACATCGAGGGCTTCGATCAACTGTATGCAGACCCGGACGTAAAGAACGCGCTTCAATTGGGAAACGAGACGATTGCTCGAACGTACATCAGGGACAAGCTGTGCTCTCTTGGACTGATGAACGTGAGTATCAAGCACGCAATATGACAATATCGGAACAAAATGACAATATCGGAATAGCTTCGGAAATAATTTAATCGAATAACATCTCTCTCTCTTTGTCTCTCTCTTCTCTTCGATGAAACGTGCAGGATTGATAAGTAAAATTCTAACATTCCGCAGTGCGAGAACGTCGAGGGACGTCGCCCTTACTATTCACCTCATCGCGGAATATATCCCCAAGATATAATTTACGCTCAACCGGTGACCATCAAACCCGTTGGAAGACCTCTGCCAGCCATTCCAATCAAACGACCATACGGTTCAACAAGACCAGGACTACCACCACCGCCACTACCACCACCACCACCTAGTTTTGTTTCGTCTGGACCGCCACCGGAAGTGATCTATGGAGCCGGTAGTGCTCCACATCCTCCATCATCATTCGGTCCTCCACCCGGTCTAATCGGTTCTTATCCTGCGTTCAAGAAACCCGGTCCTCCCGCATTCTCCTCGAAGCCAGTCTACGAGACAGGATCCCTAAGCGAAAGTTTCGACTTCGAAAGCAATAGTCAGTTCATCGACAAGAAGCAAATCGCGTTGAGACCGTCGGTCGGTTCTGACGCTGTTCAACAACACGTTCACCACCATTATCATCACTCTGATGGCACTGTTGGCGCAACGATAGCTGGTGGGTCGTCGCTCGGCGCAAACCCGATCAGTCAAGGGGTTGGGCCTCTTAGTTACGGGTCCAGTTACGGAAACATAGGCACAAGCTACGACATCCCTAGCTCTGGGGTACTTGGCGGTGGGTTCCAAGATTTGGACGATTACAAGAAAGCGTTCAAAGTGAAAGGGCCAGGAGAAAACGAGGCGAACGGATTCAGTTCCGCGTCGGCGAGTAGCTACGCCGACAAGTATCCGGTCTACGAGAAACCAACGCGTGACTTCGGCTACACCAAGCCAGAGAGCCACAAGACTGGCAAATACTTCACTGCGGGCAACTACGTCTCTTCCAATGCGGTTCACGCTTCTTCCAACGATTATCTCGCTTCCGGATCGACCAACAACTTCTTGTACGGGAACGGTAACGACAACGATGCCTTCAAAAATGATTTCTTCACGGCTAACGGAGAATGCGTTTGCGTACCGTACGAACAATGTCCGCGCGAACACGCAGGACGTAAAGACGACTTGTTCCTTGCCATTGATCCTCGTAATTTGAATAAAAATATCGAAGCTGAGGGAATAATAGCGGCAGAGAAGACTGGAGCAAATGGAACAACTACGATCGTGCAGATAGCGAAGAATGGAGAGGTCGACTCGAACGCTTCCCAAATTTCTGCCGAGGAGGAACAATCAACGGAAGAACAAGCAGATGTTAGGAACAAGAGGGAGGCAATTAGCGACGAAAGCATCGAAGGCAGAAAGAAGTCGAACGGAGAAGGGGTAAGAGCTGTTCGAAACTCGTTACTTGATTTTTCCAGATTAAATACACTGCGGATCGTGAATATAAAACTGCCCCAAGATTTTCAATTCTTATACGTTTCAATTTAGTTGATTCGTGACTAGAAAGCTAATAATTTATTACGCAAAAATTGAAAGGATAAGTGAAATTGCAACAATCTTGTGTCTTATACCTGTATAAGAATCGAGAATTTTGGGGTGGATTTATAATTACAAGACACAGTACTCGCGACATGATCGTTCGTATTGTCATCGTCGCTTCGTTTCGAATAGCGTTTCGAGTAGAACGGGTCCCGAGTGTGATAATATCGAACCGATATGCAATACGGGGGAACTCATGGTCTCTATCCTTCGACTGTTCGACTCTCTGGTTGCAGAGACTCGATGCTAGCGATCTGGACTCTTCGAAATTAAACCTCAAGCCGACCTGGGGGATCAGTTTCGGTCTACCGCAAACCGGTGGCCCGTACCCGATCAATCCTTACGGCGACAATGTCCTGGTAAATCCGTACAGAGGCTACGGTTCCGTCGATCAGGGCATTAATTTAGGCCTGGTTTCCGTGAATCCTCTGCTAGCTGTACAGTTCACCAAAGACGAGTACGGCGACAAAGTGGTAAAACCGTTTGTCAATTTTCACGTAACGCCTAACCGAAATATCGTGCAGAAACTCGGCCATCTGCTCTCGCACAAGAAGCAAACGCTGTTCGAAAATTACGGGGCCAACTACGCGCCGCATTATTACCCACCCAAACCAGTCGAATTTTACGAGAAACCGTACTACGTGAAACCTCATCGTCCTCTCTATCATTACGAATCTCCTTATCCCAACGAGTACTCAGATTACCATCGAGACGGCGATGACGATTACGATTACGATTACGACGGCTATTATCGTGATAACGCGCGCAACAACGGCGGCAGAACGCCAGCTGCCGATGCGAACGAGCGAACGGTTCCGAAAGAAAGGACCGATGGGAAAGTTTCGTTTCCGAATAGAAGAAAGCGTGACGTAGACTCGGCGCGGTTGCAATTATCCGAAGGTATAATGGAGGTAAGTATCGGCGCGCACGATCACCGATCGAGATCGAACGTGGGTAATGAAGGAGAAGGAATTCGTGCGTACCGCACGATTGCATTCCTAATAAGTATAATTCAATTGTGATTAACTTTGTTAGTCGGCAGTGTTGCGAAGAGTTTTGAATTTTTTCGACAGAGACAATATCTAGGCGTCGGTTCTTCTCGAGCTTGTGGTCCTGGCTATGTTTGCTGTTCGCAAAGACAACCATCGAGGAGGCCACGACCAGGTCAATGCGGAGTCAGATACACTCAGGGAATAAATGGAAGGATCAAGACACCCTCTTACGTTGACGGCGACGCTGAATTCGGTAAAAAAAATTATTTCGTTGCTCTTTCGATCACTGCATTTGAAGGCTGCGTAGAGAAAAAAATACTCCATTTTTGTTGACTTTCCAATTGTCATATTGCTTGAATTCTGAAATCCTTCATCGTGTACTTCCGTAATCTTCACGTGAACTCGAATCAACTCTCTCGCTCGACAGTAATTTGCCAAGTAATGAGATTGATAAATTGACGAGTTTAAATTGACGAGGCTCAATTTCATTTCAATAGGCGAATATCCCTGGCAAGTGGCGATATTGAAAAAGGATCCAACGGAAAGCGTGTACGTGTGCGGCGGTACTCTCATTTCTCCTCGACACATCCTCACTGCAGCACACTGTGTAAAAACCCACGCAGCGCGAGATCTTCGCGTACGACTAGGAGAATGGGACGTGAACCACGACGTTGAATTCTACCCTTATATAGAACGTGACGTTGCAAATGTTCACGTGCACCCCGAATTCTACGCCGGTACCCTTTACAATGATATCGCGATACTGAGGATCGATCATGAGGTAGATTTTCAGAAGAATCCGCACATTAGCCCTGCCTGTTTACCGGACAAACGTGACGATTTCACTAGAAGCAGGTAAGTATCTTTCTATCATAATGACAATCTTCAAGAAATATATTCTATATTACGGAAAAAAAATAACATTTGAACTCAGAATGCAATTTGCTGAAAATTCGCAAATAAAAATTTCCCCACTATGTAAATATCTTCACAACGTTTTTCACCATGTTATCGTGATGATCTAGATGCTGGACAACTGGTTGGGGCAAGGATGCTTTCGGTGACTTTGGAAAATATCAAAATATCTTGAAAGAAGTGGACGTGCCTGTGGTCAGCAATGCGATTTGCGAACAGCAAATGCGGCGAACGAGATTAGGTCCAAGTTTCAACTTGCACCCTGGATTTATTTGCGCTGGTGGAGAAGAAGGGAAGGATGCTTGCAAAGGTGATGGCGGTGGACCGATGGTCTGTGAACGCAATGGTGGTTGGCAACTGGCAGGAATCGTATCATGGGGTATTGGCTGTGGACAACCAGGCGTTCCTGGAGTATACGCCCGTGTCTCTTATTATCTCGACTGGATTCAACAAATTATCAATCGTTATTAATTCACCATGACAGAAATCACTCGCTACCTCGAACGATTATTATTTATGCTACTCGGCTTCATTTCCCATCTTGGTTCCAATTCGAATACAACATCTTCATTAATTGTAGCAGGAAGATTCGAAGAATTTATAACGTATAATATTTATAATGTATTGTAAGAACGTGTAAACGTATAGACTGTTACAGTAAATTAATGCTTAATTTCTTTTTTTCACAATTATGCGTCGTGGTAGAATTTGTTCTGCTCGTGATTCGAAGTAAATTCGGATCGTCAAGTACTGCATTTTATTTGCAATTTACTTGTTAATTTTGTTTTAATAAATATTAACTAACCAAATAAACTTTCAACTATTTTTTAAATTATTTAGAAAGTTTCTTAAACCTTCCGTGATTTTAAAAGTCTTTCTAACAGCTTAATAGGTCTTTTAATTACATAAACTGCGATTGTCAATTAGCTCATATTATTTGTTACATAATTCATAATTGCAACGTATAGTGATGCAATAGTAATTGTATCACAAATAATAATGACTGTCTCACCACTTGCCAATCCACCCTATCCGCGGCCCATCCTCCTTTTGCAAACAAAAATTTAATAATTTAAAACAAGAATTTATGAATAAATAGCTCTTCCACTGTATATTTGCAAAACGTTCAATACCTTGAGTGTTATGCAAACCAGACAATAAAAGAAACTGAAGAAGTTTGACTACATAATAGTAGCTTAAAAAGCTTAAATAAATATATGTCTCATATAGAATTTCATTTATTTTATTTAAATTCATATTAACTACCCTTAACTATGCAAGCACTTAAATACTAATGCATATTTGAAATTAGCTATGCTTAAATCTAATTACCAACTTAAAACTATCACAACATAATACAACATAGCACAACATAACACAAAACCCAATTTAAAACTATCTGCAGTCTAATTAAGTCTAATTTAGCCAAACTTAGTCTAATATCTCTACAAAAAGTGAAAATATGTATATATCTATATATTCAGAAAATATGCTGCAATTCATTAAATTGAATGCCGAGTTGCTTGCATAATGGAGGGTGGTTGGGATTAGGGGCGGATCTCATGCATAGTCACCTTCTCGTGGTAAAACCTGGTAAAACTTTAATGTTTGTAAAACGATATCAAGCTAAAAACTACGCAACCTACAGTTCAGTTTAGATTGTGCAAATTTCTATCCTTCCAGAAATTCTGGAAGCCCGCCTCGAATTTATTATTTTATTATTATATATTGTTTTAACATATCCCTTGAACGTTAAGTCCCTACCAAGTATTTTAGGAGAGAAAGAAATTTTAGGAAAGAGGAAGTTTCAACAATAAATGAAAGTAAATTTATCCTGAATCAATTAAACAGTCAAATATTTTAAATGTCAATCAGAAATCGCTAGACTACTAATTGATTTCATCAATCAAATAAAACAATGTAACTGTAAAGATTTGCTAGAGTGCAAATGTCTTCTACAAATTCATATTTTTCTAAAATAGAATTAGAGAAATAGAATTTAAGCAGAAATTTATTTCAGTCATATAATGGGCATTCTGTTTTGGATATTTCATAAAATTTTCTATATTTAGTGCATTCTACGTACAATTTTCTCTTGTTGATGTCAAAAAGATTTGTTAAATAAATGTAATAAGATGTATTTAATTACCATTAGGCAGAATATAGGCATTTCCTTTAAATTCCACAATCCATATTATTCCATCTTTTATCCATCCACATGGATCCATTGATAAATCTGTAACAGACTTATTTGTTGGATTATTAGTTTAAAAAATTTAACACAGAAATTCCACACCACTAAAAGAGTCCCGACATTTGGAAAAAAAACAAATGAATAGCCAGAAGAACTAGACTACTGAAAAGGAAACCGCGATACAATAACCAGAAGGGCTATTGTACAATTATCGACATTATGAAACCGAGCACACAAACGTATCTTGTTTCGTAATACTAATTCACTAACACTAATTATGAAATAGGAAATTTTCAAAATCAAACGCGAAGAGTGCTTCGTCATGTTTAAAACTCCCGTAAGTAAGTACGCAACGTTATTAATCTATGCACTCATCTTTAAAAATGCGCAACACTAATTGCAACGCGTCCAATGCAACCATGCTGGAAGTTGCTGATGATAGTAACAGCTCTTGTAGCTGCATCAGGTGATCCAGGAGCAGGAATTCCACGAATTTAGTGGAAGAATTTGGGCATTTTGTAAACGCAACGCTATTTCGAGAAACGCGATCATTCATTATCGCAACACTAACAAGAGTAAAAGTAACTGGAAATCGCGATGAAATAATGTCGCAACACTAACTCTAAAACCAAATTGAGTTGAAAATAATTATTAACAGCTACTGTTTCAAATAACATTCTAACATTCTAAAATTAGTTAAAAGCAATGAATCTATAATTTAATTTGAAGAGAGAAAGTAAGAAAATTTTACAATGTATGACATTAAGACTAACTATAAAAATTCACAATTAAAATTGCAAAAGACAATCGCGGTATCATAATTCGCAACTCGAAAAAGCAAACACGATTATCATTTCTTCACAATTTAAAACGTAATCAATGCCTCGCAACACTAATAAACAAACACGAAATTATTTCGCAATTCTAATTCAGCCCGTAATCGATCTTTCGCAACACTAACACGAAAACTCGCGATTTGCCCAAAACGATGATGAACGATGATGAAGAAGAAAAAAAAAATACAACTACAAATACTAAAAGAGCATAGTGACAAAGTAGTAACGAGAATGACTTCCCATGCTCTGGAATC